AGCGTAAGCGTTGAGGACGCGATGATCGTGCTGAATAGTCCCTCGAATGCGTGAGTAAGCGAACGGAAACGTGTAGTGAATCGGTGTCTCTGACTCGAGTATGCTTTGCATTGTTGTGCGTATGACCGGCGTGGTGCCCTTGGGGAAGCGAAGGATCGGACCACCTAGGCTGAGCCTATGGCGTCCCTCGAATGCGCATGGCAGGTGCAGGCTGAGCTCGATAAGAGACTTTACCGTAGGCGGTGCTCATCTAGGGTGTAGTTAGCAATTCCACTTTAAACTAAACCGCTACCGGGGCGTTCCCGGAAGTTTCTACGCTAGGGGAGCCCCTATACTCAGGGAGATAGAGTGGCATTCTCTATCTAGGGAGCACGCGGGAGTACAGGCTGATGTATTTCGGCCTGTTAGCCCTTTGCGTGCGGCATACGACCCGAGGCACAATGCGGGCCCGACCATTCGGAGTGGACAAGCGGAGAGCGAGGTTATCTCGGCCCTTAGGGTCTGGGGCGCCTCTACACTAATGCTGCGGCGGTAACACCATTCCGTCTTATGCGGAGGTGCGTCAGCTCTCATCTTGAGAATCAAAACGTGCGATAAGGCAGAAAAGGCCAGGTGCGGACGCTAAAGATCTCTTGTGTTGTTGACGATGAGTTCTCGGGAACGGAATGACCGGATAGCAGTCCTACCACTCCTCTGAGTCTAGCCCTCTCCAATTGCAGCAGTGAGTTTACTGTGTCTAGCACCGCTAGAGTTTATCCATTTCTCCTTTTATTTTATTTGGATCCATTCTGTATTTGTTTTTGCTATCCCAAGTATAAGTTCGGGGCCTATGTATGATCTTGTAGATGTGGCCAGTGTGTCTGCTTTTTCTTTACCCAAAATTTTCCTTAGTCCTCACCTTAAGTCCTTCTTCTTGTATTGTCTTAAGTTTTGTACTGAATTTTCAGACATCAAGACCATCATGACCCTCGCAAGGGAGAATCTAGAACCTCTGCCCAGTTTACACCGCAGGTACAATTTACACATGTAAATCACAACCTTCGATGACGTCACCTAACAATAATCCTCTGCTCACACTATCCTAGCAGCAGAATCCAAAAAACCCTAAACTTCTTTACAGTCAGGTTCACTCGGATTTGCCCATCAGTGCACGTAAACAATAAGGAATCCCACCTCCCAACCAAATCCGTTACCTCGAGTTCTACTTGGACAGCAGACTTACAAGGAACGAACACACTAAACCAAACAGGGAAAAACTCAACCGATGATACGGACACATCAGACAGAATTGGGGTCGTCTTTTTGCGAGGATCTCAGCTCCAACGCGATTTGGAAGTCCCAATTATAAAAGACTGCGCAAAAACCTGATTCAAGAGTGTCTAATTCAAATTGCAACGTGAACGGAGTAATACCGGCTGGGCTAAAGATAGGCAAACAGGCTTAAACCTCGCTTAATCCAGGACAACATCGATCTTTGGCATTCATTTTCAATTTATTAGACATCCTTAGATAGTCTTAATTCGTGACAGTGAACAATGTACAAGTGAATTGTTTACAAGGCTGTATCATGAAAGTTAAACTTGTGCAACCGAATAGGTTAATCTTTAAATAATAATTTATGTTTTGTTTAATTATTGGTTTTCACTCTCCATTTTTTTTCTGCTCATCAAATCCTCAAATAGTAACATTATAAATTTATGGAGCAGAGGAAACTACACACGACTGGACCATTTTTAGATGGTTCTCATGTCTTTGGCATAGTGTGACGCCCTCGGATTATTATTTCATCATCAAACCACACTAGAAGACTTTTTTAATGTACCATGACGCAATAAAAGATATTCAAAGTCACCACGTGGGTTAATCCCCCCCCCGCCAATGCCATATACATGAAGCAACTTCTTCACACGAGATTTTCTTGTTTCGTAAAAAAACGAACTGTATTAACTAAAAATCTTCCTCCAAGCCTTACGTTAATATTTGATATTTTTGTTTAATATTCTTGTAATTTTCTCTTCTGGCCTGCCTTACTGATATACATTGTGCCAAGATTTCTATCTCATTTTACTTTTAATTTCATAGAAGGAACTTCCTTTATTTATTTCATGTATATTATTCTTAGGGGACACCTGTCCCAGAATAAAGTTATTTTTCTTCTGCAAACATCAAAAAGAAGCGTGCAATTTTCACTTTGACCAAATTAAAAATAAACACACCATAAAACTTAACAACTTAATCAACAAACAAATACCTGAAAACACACAACCTAACAAAAACTAACATTCCTCCAGAAATCCAAAACTTCCTCTCACTTGGTCCCAAATATTCCATTCCTTACAACAAAACATATTTCCCAACAGCTAAATTAATAACTGATGTAGACTACGCAATCCAAAAGTCAACAAAAAAAAGAAGAAAAAGACATAACACGATCAAAATGACATAACACAATAACAAATCTTTTACAACACCTCACTTCACCAGACTGAATCTCACGACAAAATAATCATTTTGTCGAAACTATTATTTTTGCAGTCCTTGCCTAAGGAATTTTGCTAATTTTGTATTAATTCGTTTGTTTTATATAACCTTAATCTATTTTATTTTATCTATTTTTTTTTATCACTACTTAATAATAGTTCTTGTTGCCGATATATATATATACTTTTTGATATATCGGAAATCGATGTATCGATATATAGATTAAAGATTGCCATAACTAGGCACAACTGGGTAAGTCGAAGTTTGGCCAAGTTAGAAAAGATTCAAGTAAGCCTTTAGTGGCTTTTGGGTGCAGTATTAGTAGAACCTACAGCATAAAAATTAAAAAAAAATTCAATCAGCCAATCAAACTATGTATACGATACCTATACAATAAGCGAAGTAATTACTAAAAATAATTGGTTTGTAGTTTGAAAAAAGCTATGTTTTTAATTATTATTCGGAGATCGTGAGATGCGGTCTGGTGTGGCGTAGGTTTTAGAAAAAGTTTTCTTTATCGTGCCAACGTTTCGGTCTTTATTGAGATCATCTTCAGGGCTCAAAGTGTTTGTTTTCTCTGTAGATGTGTCATTATTGTGTGTCGTGTTGAGAGCATCTCACGATTTCTAATTAATTATTAACTAGCGGTCAGTTAACAATTAATCATAACTATTGCGATCTGGGAATAAAAAGGTCAAATAGCAAATCAAAGGTGTGTAGGAACTAACGCTGTTTATTTTTCGTTTCCAGACTCTTGTTGGAACAAGTTCTTTCTTATCTGAGTGACGCTCAGCGCTGAAAATGTATGCATAATTGTGTGGAATTAGTTGAGTTGTTTCATTAGTTTTTTTTTCTCTCTACTTTGGCTGATTTTCTACTCCTCTTCAAAATATATGCAGTAGAAGGCAAAATAAAGTGGTTTCGACCTAACACACTAGACCAGCATTTTCAAAAAAACCTCTTCGGTTCTATTAGACCGATTTTAATAACTCAGTGCTCATTTTTCTCGCCAAAACATCTAGTTTCAAAGAAAAGTGTGAAAAATGGGGGTTCTCACTTAAAATTAAGAATTTAAGTGGTATTTAGTGACCGTTAGCCAATGATTATCTGGAGATCGTGAGGTGCGGTCTGGTGTGGCGTAGGTTTTAGAAAAACATTTTCTTTATCGTGCCAACGTTTCGATCTTTATTGAGATCATCTTCAGGGCTCAAAGTGTTTGTTTTCTGTGTAGGTGTCATTATTGGGTGTCGTGTTGACAGTGCCTACAAGAATGACCCAATTAGGCATAAAACAAATACTTTGAGCCCTGAAGATGATCGAAATAAAGATCGAAACGTTGGCACGATTAAGCAAATGTTTTTCTAAAACCTACGTCACACCAGACCGCATCTCAAGATCTTCGAATAATCACTGACTAATGAGCACTAACCAACACATACATTTTTAATATGGGAGTAGATGATGTTGGACTTTTTTAAACGTACAGCGTTCATTTTCTCTTCTCGCTTTTATAACGAGGAGATTACAAAAGAAGGGAGAAAGTATTCGGAGTTGGTTTGCCGACGAGACCCGTTGGGTTGCCACAAAGGCGAAAACTGGGTCAACGATATGTGTTCGTCGCATCAAGGCCACTATATGGCTAAGTGCAACGACTCTGTTTTCATTAGGCCACACGAACTTGCCATTTCCTCCCAATTTAGTACGGGACGCTCCAATTTGACGGAAATGCCGGTAGTTGTAAAATTATTTTTCTTTTTGTCGGCTCTTCAGAAATTGTACGTTGTAGGGGCAATTACCACGCCTTTCAACAACCGGCCGACTGCATACTTTCGTCGTACTGTTTACAATAGCTAGGCGTACAACTCTGAGTAAATATCAGCTGAATAAAAAATAAAAAACAAAATTAAAACGAAATAGTCGCTTAGGAAAAATGGAAAAACCGTTCAAACAGATTTAATATCTACAATTCCATTTTTGCTTGGAAGAAAACGACTCATATTCTAATTTTTCAAGTATTTTTAAAAAAATACATCTATGGCCTTGAAATAGTCTATGGTCTATGAAAGGTGGTCTATGGTCTTGAAAAATGCAAAACTCAAGAAAATCTTGGAGCCAGACAATATTGAAAAGTTGTGATATAAAATTAGCACAGTGATTTATTCTAGTGATAGTGATACCCATTTCAAAACCAAAATTGTTCAATTTTCCCGTTTTATTTTTCAAAAATTTTTTCAAGCAGTATGTTCGTTACTTCAAAATGAGGAAGAAGACAAAATACTACGGTTTCGTTTATACAGCTTGTGACTGACAAGTTTAGGCTGTTATCATTGCCACTTAAGTAATGAAAAAAAAATTGGGTAAACGTCCCCTAAGCATGAAAGGATGAATTATTATAATGAAATTGTACCAGAAAGAAAGTTTTGCCTGAAATCATGATTTATAAAGGAAATATTCCATTGGTGTCGTGCCTGATGCTTCTCGTTAGAAATTTCCCTGTAAGGAAGGAATGTCGAATATTTCAAGTCCATATGTTGCCATATAGTTACCATTGGAGTACAATGGGAAAAATTGTCTTCTTTTTTTTCAAATACGTTTCATACATTTAAACCAAAAGAGCCAAAGTGAACCATGGAACGACCTCATTCCGCCATATCGAAGACGTTCTCTTACAAAACCAAAGAGGACGTCGGTAAAAACAACCCAACCATCATCCCAAAGGACTCTCTGTCGTGAGTATTTAATTTAATTTTAATTTGAAATCTACATTCCCTGGCAAGTAGGCGCTATAATTAGATTATGACCGATGGACATCGAGACGCCGGTAACCCCAAATTGGCCCCGCAGTCGACCTGCCACTCCCATGGAATTGTATCATCGAAAATTTGAAAGAATTGACATGTCATATTAAAAGAGCGTAGGGCTGTAAAGAAATATCAATCAGTACAGGGTAGGATGTCGTCTCTATTTATTTTATTTGTTTATTCGTATGATATATAACATAATACACATTGACAATATAAGATTTTTGCAGTTACATTAATAGCAGTAATACGCCAGGAGATGCAACAGCTGCATCGTCGGCAAATAATGCAACGTTAAGGCCTGCTAGCTTAGGGAAGTCATTTAATAAAAATAATATGGGTCCTAATACCGATCCCTTTGGTACTCCCGCGTTTGAGCTCCGAATAGTACAGATTCCATTTCCCACGTCGACTACAAACTGTCGATTTTTTAGGTAGGAGGCTATTGTTGTTATCAATCATCTTGAATATGATACCGTTATGCCATATGTCGAATGCTTTAGTGATGTCATATAAAACTACCCCAGTGTGCTTCTTCCTGTTGAAGCAGTTGGTTACGTGGTCTATTAGCCTACATAGTTGTGTCTGTGTGAATAGTGCATGGCGGAACCCAAACTGTGGTATCAATATGTCCTCCTGATCCATGAATTTCTTAGGGGTATATTATTTTTTCGAATGCTTTACTTAGTGCGCTCAATAAACCTATAGGTCTGTAGTTCAGAGGTTCCTTTGCGTCTTTTTCTGGGTAGTATACAAGAGATAATAGCGCATTGAACACGTAAGTCAAAAACATTAACCCTTTCCTACTTAAATAAAATAAAACAGCAGAGGTCATATAAACCCTCAGGGTGCCGGTACAAAAAACCCATTTGTAAGCACGTCGGGTTGGCATGCAGGGCCGCCGGATTCGAACCCGGTACCTCTACCTTACAGTGATGAGCGCCGTGTCAACGCCTAAATCGTTGCAGCCACCGACGCACCACTTAAATTCTTAAGCATTAGTTATTCTGTCAGTGCCTAGAGTTTTCTTATTTAACCTATTCTTAATTATGCTTTTTATTTCTCTTGGTAATACTACTTTGAATCCAGTTGTTACATTTTGACCTGTCTTCAAAAAGTATTTCACCTTTTGACTGATGTGACGTTTATGTCGTCTATATGTGCCCAGACCTGAGTTGGCATTATGAACTGCTTCCAGTTTTTGAGCAAATAGATTTTCTTTCTCAGTCTAGCTCACATATTCCCTGTCGTTGGATATTAAGCTGATGCAGTTCTGAGTAAGACGGGCTTTGTAAGATATTTGGTTACTTTCCTAAGTGTCCAAATGGGGTGTCTTGTCTATTCACACGAGAGCCATATTGATTCCTGCAAAAAATAAAAAATTAGTAAAATTTACATTTTTGAGCATATTATGAATTTCCTGTCCATCACAAGGATAACTATATGCAATTACCATTATTATTAATAATAAAATGAACTCATTAGAGTTCGTGGTCCTATTGACCGAATAACGTTTTTCAATTAATTAATATTTAAGTAAGGCAATGGTTGAGATAAAAAAAGTCAGTGTCACGAGCGGGATTCGAACCCACTACCTTCGACTAAATACGCCTCTACTCTACCACTTGAGCTATCGTGACTTCGAACCTCTCGGACACTAACTCCCCCATCTCAAATAAGAAGGGAAAATTCGAAAGGTGGGGTTGAGATGGGAGTTAGTGTCCGAGAGGTTCGAAGTCACGATAGCTCAAGTGATAGAGTAGCGGCGTATTTAACCGAAGGTCGTGGGTTCGAATCCCGCTCGTGACACTGACTTTTTTACCTCAACCAATACCTTACACAAAGATTAATTAATTGAAAAATAAGATGAATATTAAAAATTGAAAAATTGCAATATGTAGGAAAGATAAGGGAGGTATAAATTCCGTTCGACAATTATTTTCCGCAGTGATTTCAGCGAGAGCTTAAAAATTCGTAGTTTTTCCGTGTTCTGAGGTTTGCCCTTTGTTCATACATGAATTCGGTTCGTTGAACATTATCGACGGCTTATCTCTGGGTCGACGATTATGGATGTTTCATCAAAGTGAGAATGCGCGATTGAGCAGGTTTCTACAGAACGTTGATAATTATTATTTAAAAAACATGCAGACAAACATTAATGAACTATTTGAAAGGCAAAATATGTAAGTAAGTAATACCTAATAAGTAGCCTTCTCACTAGCAGCAATGAGCCCAAAACTCCACAAACCCCACCCGAGTTCCCTCTTCCCATTCATTTCCTTACAGCCAAAAACAGAGCAAAATCTCGCTGGCAACGCCATTAATATAAACAACACTCAGCCCAACTTATTTACCTCCTTCATATTTTAATCCACGGAGAAACCAGAGCAGCGGTCATAGGCTCATAAATGGACAATCTGCAAGCATAGGCCATGTCAATGAATGGAAACTGAGGGAGAAGATACCGGCAGATGCCACTACTCAAAAATATAACTTGACCAAGTACGAGGTAATACCAGAAAGGAAAGAGTAAAGGAACACCTCTGAAGAACTTGGTATATCGACGGCCCAAAAATTGATAAAGGCACGGGAGCTCTAGTCTTCGGGATGAATCCAAGACCTAACTGATTTTAAACTTAGGTAAATACGCTATTAGTAAGTCTGAAATTATATCAATTGAACACTTCGTCGGACAAATTAAACAGCTAGGAAAACATTCCAGAAGAATATTTTCTCTGTCAGGGAGGCGACAGCCCTTAGGGAAATCAATTAACCTGAGCCATGTTCGTGGGCATTCGGGACATAGGTGCAATAAGATAAACACGTTGGCCAAAAAAGGAGCCAATATGAATTCTCTTGGCCCTGAAACCTACTGAGGCGAAGAGATTCATGGAAAATGTACGAAGGACTGGAAAGTAACGGCAACAGAACCAAGATTCAAGCTGGACTCAAGCCAGGGCACTACTTTCTAAGAAGGCACATGCACCCGATATAGATACTGCCAGAAAAAAGAGGAGGCCATAAAACACAATTTTTGTTTTTGAGAAGGTGCAGATTATCGCAACTAAGAGAGGAAAAGCCGCAAGCAAGATCCTTCACCAAGGAGGCACTGGCAAGCCAAACAGTGGCATTAACAACCTGAAACTGGCCAGTGAGTTATAAAAAAAGCAAAGGAGCACAGTAGATCTACTTAGGTCTAGATGCAGAAAGCTTTCTGGCCGATTATTTTATCCCTATCCCTACTTACCTCCTGAAATCCCAGTTCCACCTCGAATCCATATCCACGCACCTCCCTACGGTTAACCACTATTAAAATCACGAAACATATCCACTATTCTCCCCAATAAAACGCCCCAACGGACCTGGACCGGGTCAAGCAAAGAGATCCTTTCCTATTACCTTTCTGCAATTTTCGTTCCTCGTCCAGATGTGTATGTAACAAAGCATTTAGACCTTCCTCTCTCACCGCTTCCCAATCATTTCTAACCTCCCAACTAAGAAATCCCCAGGACATGTCCTTTTAACTATCAAAAATCTAAAAAACCTACCTCAAAAGCAGGAGTATTATCACAATCACTGTCAATACAATAATCAGCACAACACCTCATCCAATGGAAACTTCTCTAATAACTTCCAATTCCCAAAGCAAACAAATCCCCCAGCGAATCCTCATACGTATATCCTCACCCTTCTCCCAGTCATAGTTAAATATTTTGAACGCCTCTTCCTCAAAAGGTTAATCCCAATTCCCACGCCATCACCATCGATCATTTTGGTTTAAAATCCCTTCGGTCCAGCAGGGTTTACTGGTATTTGACACAATATCCTCAACCCTGGAAAATAAGCATTATTGCTTAGCAGTTTTTCCAGATGTCACAAAGACATTTGACAGAGTTAGGCACACTTTCTTTTCAAATTAAAAATTATCCTTACTCGAATCTGCTACATACAGTCACAGCTTATAAGGCCAACTTTTTTCTATAAGCGCCATATCCGTCAGTATTTGCAGAATCAAGAAAATCTGACTTAAACCTTAAAAAAGAACTTTGGCAACTCTTAAAACTATCAGCTAAATGATTTTATATTTTGTTTACTTAACGTTACAATGAAAATATGAATCCTCAGAGGGTTTTTCGTTTCATTGGTGTAATCAAATTTGCAGTAGATGTGATGGAACTTTATGAAATAAAGTTGTGAATGGTTAAAGTAACCTTAAAAATGAAATATCTTGAGTACAATTGAGAAAAAAGTTTTAGACAATACGGACTTTTAAGTTCAATTTGACTTGTTGGATCACCTCCTGAAGTATTGACCCTGCGATAATGTAGACCATTGACCTGTTGCGAGCATTTCATTGATTACGCAAAGATGTAGAGAAAACAGCTATTATAAGTCCATTTGGGCTTTATGAGTTTCCTGTTATGACGTTTGCCTTGCGCAGCACCGCCCTTTCAATGATTTATGGACTACCATAACAAAGGATTTCGACTTTTGCTTTACATACCTCGATGATATTATTGTTCCATTCAAAGGAAACAAGATAAAGTACACTATCGAAATTTCATTTTGGACAGACAGCTGTCTCATTTTTAAAATATACAATCTCAGAAAAACGTATAACATCTGCTGAAGGTAAAGGAAATGAACGAATTTCCTCTCCCAAAGGAGAGGCAAAACTGCCTGGACTCCAGAACTCCAAAAGGCCAAAACCCAAGTTAGCCTCTAATAATCATGACAGATGTCACAATCTTGGTGCATCTCACTCTACATCTCAAAATGGCAACCCTTAGCTTTCTCCGCCAAAAACTTTCTCCCATTCATCAGAAATTTAGCGCGTATTACCGTGAATTATTATTAGCTGATAAGGCAATCCGACATTCCAGACACACGATAGAAGGTCTTTCACAATTTTCACAGATCACAAACCTCTTACTAAACTTGTAAACGTTCGGGAAATAAGCGTTTTAGTAGCCAGAACTTTGAAAAAACAAAAAAACTTTTTTGAAATACTTACTATGTTGATTCTAAATTACTTTTCCAAATTTCTCAGGTCAGCAAATTTCAGAAAACGTACTCCATTTAATATCCTTTTTAGTGGTGTAATTGCTTTTTTAATTACTTTTTTCAAAGATGAAGAAATTGATGAAGGGCATGGAAAAACCGTTGTTGACGGATGGAAGATATAATAATTAAAAAAAAAATTAAGGAAAGTTTGAATGAACTTAATATTCATAAAACATTTCCTTAAGTTTTTTTTTAATCCTTCCACCTACCAATCCATCAACCACGTTTTTTTCCTTTCCTTCATCAATTTCTTCATCTTTGAAAAAAGTAATTAAAAAAGCAATTACACCACTAAAAAGGATATTAAATGGAGTACGTTTTCTGAAATTTGCTGACCTGAGAAATTTGGAAAAGTAATTTAGAATCAACATAATAAGTATTTCAAAAAAGATTTTTTTTTTTCAAAGTTCTGGCTTCTAAAAGCTTATTTCCCGAACGTTTACAAGTTTAGTATTGATCACATCTTATAGGAAATTTAACGTAGTTTTCAATGGTATCAACGAATTTGTCCCAAACCTTTCTGTTTTGGAGTTATCATTGTTTATTTGAAGCAAGGTCGTGAAATCTTAAAAAAATCAAGAAAAGCGGAATATCTCCGAAACTGCTGAAATTCGGACCATAGTTAATTAGGACTTTTTGGTTCTATTTTGGATGTAGAATCACCTGGCAAAGTTTGTAACACGAGTAGCCGAACGCCCTGCAAATTTGATGAATAGTTCAGATTGACGGTGGTAAAAGAAGCTGATTTTTTTTTTAATAAATAAAATAGATTTTGTTGTTTAGATATTTGAAATCATAGTTTATCGCTGTCGTTGAAAAGTTCTAAAGAGGTCCGATATGACCAAAGCCTACAAGTGTCACTAGCGTCCCACCTAATTGAATGAAACCGCCCAACGTAATTCTTCCCGCATCCAATTACCTAAAGGAGACTTTTGTCTCAGATTCCAATTCCTATTTTATTGGGTGCTTCCTGCCCGGGGGATCGAGTCGGAGATAAACACTATCCGGGGCCTGGATATTCGCGGCACGCGATGCCCTTTTAAAAGGTACGCCAGTGCGATTGGGTCCGGTCAAAGGGGGCCTTTCGAGAGTACACTCCTCGAATTGACGATTCATAATTCGACCTAACTGGGTCGAGGCACGCGCTCTTACGACATCCAAGCTGGAATCACTTCCTCAAAAGCTAATCCATCACAAACTTTGCTTATTTTGGACTTCCATCTCGTATACAGACGGATGATATAGGCCATGCACCCGAGGACTGATCGAGATTGTGTTAAAGCCAGTGTTTCACCCAGACATAAATCATTCCCATTATTATATTTTATTTCAACAAATATAAAACATAAACAATTAAATGATTATTTACGTATGATTAACATTGCTGTTCAAAATTCTGTAGGGTAGTTAAAGTTTAGAGATATATTCTACCAGTGGTACATCCCAATTTACATAATCACTTCATCTTCAAGAAAGCAGTTTTATTATTATTTTTTTCGTATAAGCACATTCTAGAGATTGTCCCTAAGAAGATATTTTCATCTTTGAATATTTTCATATGATTCGAAGGACGGTGATCGGGTGTGGGATGTGCTGTGCTCTTATATGACCATAGGGCAGAGGGTCAACGAAGCGGATGATAAATTGGCCAAGGAAAGTTCGATCATAACTTCTACTGCCCCTGAACCCTTTCGTGACATACCAAACTGCCAAAAAACATGGATCCAGACCGATTAAAAATAAGTCCTCAGTGTAGGAATGTGACCCTGGACAGAGGCATGCGAAAAAAACTCATGAAAGGACCATCAGAAACTCTAGCCGAAGACATTTAATAACAAAACACTCGATATACTAAGCCAAAACTTTACAAAATTGATGACCGTGGAACAACTACTACTGAGTACAATGTATAGTCATTCAGCTTAGCAACTTTGTGGAGTGGTCGGCCTTTGCCGATATGAGATGCAGAAAGATTCCAAAATGAATAAGACGATGTTTCTGCTATTACCTTTTCCCCGCAATAGTCCTGATCTCCATCAGGCTACCTCATCTAAACTTCCTCTTACTTGAAGGAAACAGTTTTCATACAGCCAAAGGTTTTAAAGCTGAGGTCAAATACGAAGCAAAAACTAAAAAATTGGATGGAATGAAGCTTCCACTGCCCTCTACGAGTGACCATGGTCCTTCAGACTACGACTTCTTCTGAACTTCCACTTACTTGAAGGAACCAGTTTTCATACAGCCAAAGACTTTAAGCTGAGGTAAAATACGAAGCAAAAACTAAAAAATTGGATGGAATGAAGCTTCCACTGCACTCTATGAGTGACCTTGGTGCTTCAGACTACGACTTCTTCTTAACTTCCACTTACTTGAAGGAAACAGTTTTCATACAGCCAAAGACTTTAAGCTGAGGTAAAATACGAAGCAAAACTAAAAAATGGATGGAATGAAGTGTCCACTCAATAAACTCTACGAGTGACCATGGTCCTTCAGACTACGACTTCTTCTTAACTTCCACTTACTAGAAGGAAACAGTTTTCATACAGTCAAAGGTCTTAAAGCTGAGATAAAATACGAAGCAAAAACTACCAAAAGGAAAATGAAGCATCTACCCATACGATCTATAGTCCTAATCTTACTCCTTTAACTTGTAACCACTTCCGACTAATAACCTCTTATCGAAAAAGGTTCTTTACATTTGAATACATTTTATCCAACACTTCTTGATAAATGAAGCCATAAATTCCCAAAAATGGCTAGTACGGTATTTCTACCGGTAAAATGATGTTCAGACTACCTACTCTACTGAACAATAACCTTAACGGAACAACGTTTCTTACATCTCCAGCAAAAAACTTCTCGATTCACAAAGATCAAATGTTACTAAATGGATGGAATGGAGCTTCTACTGCGTACGATTTAACTTTCTGACATCGTGCGCACATCCTGACCTGATATCCTGACCTTCAGTCTACCACCTCTACTTAGAAATGGCTCTTTTCTTTACCTATAAAATTTCCTACATTCGAGGAAATGAAGCTAGCAGAAGACTTTTCCGACAAAATACTTCTCGACACATGCAGCATAAACTTAACAAATTCCATGGAAAGGACGTTTTTCCGCGATCTGTAGATTACCAGGTTTACTTCAGAGTTCAGACTACCACCTCTTCGGAACAATGGCTCTATTCCTGAAAGGAAAAACGTTTCGTACATTAGACAAAATGAAAACTCAAGATGACTTTTCCAGAAAAACTTTTCGCGACGACGGGAAAATTTTACAAAACGAAATAAGCGTTTCCTGCGTAAGATCCTGACATCGCTCCTTCAGCTACCACCTCTACCTTGCAATGATTCTTTTCCTTACCGGAAAAATACGTCCTATATTTGAAGAAATGAAACCAGCAGAAGACTTTTCCGACAAAACGCTTCCCGACATACGAAGCCAAAACTTTACAAAATCGATGGAATGGAGCTTTTCCGCGCATGATCTATAATCTTGATCTTCTCTTTCAAACATCTTCCTTCTGGATAGCACTTCTTCCGTGCAATTGCACACTCCGTCAATGGAAAAACAATTCATGCAATGTAATAAACTTGAGAAAACTTGTACAACCTTGACATCGAGATATAGCAAATACTAATGACAAATGAAATCAAGTACATGCATTTTAAACGAAATTTTTGCCCATTCCCCTTCTCGCCGTTCCTGAGGAAGACCCCTGCACCATTTGACCACGGCCAAATTATTTGTACCTAAAACCATGAGGTACTCTAAAGGATTTTATGGTTCTTCATTTTAGAAGAGTTCATAAAGGAGTTATATCTTTTTTTCTCTGAGCTCTTTTTATATTAAGCTGACTGGAAATGGGTTTCGATTTAAACATTCTCACATATGAACATCTTACTTAAATTTTCCTTCAATTTTAAGGGCGCAGAACAAAAAATATATAAATTTTGTATAAACCTATTAAAAATCAATATTTTGCCTTTTCGTTTCGTCTGAATTTCGCCGATTTATAGATCTGCCCGGGAGGGAAACCAAAAACCAAGTTGAAAAACGGAGGAATTTAAACATTTTCCAGTTCAATTCTCAACAATATTTGGGTACATTATTTGATACATTATTCAACAGCCATTCCTGAATAAGAAACCGCTTCTGTCCCGTTTAATTCTGCCCGTACGATTCTTATTTATTATTCACTGAATACCGCGGATGTGAGCACTTATTTCTCCACAATAAGCCACAATTTATTGGCTTAGGCACGTTTTTTCTAGAAGATCTAAACCCACAAAGCCTACGACTCTAACGTACGGCGAGAAAAAAAAAAATCAACGTAAATTTAAATTTTTTATAATCCATAAAGCAAGCAGTAAAATTTCATTTTATACTGTTTGAAATTCTTGATCTTTAAATATTGACTGAATTCAACCAATAGACCAAGACTCGCGAATGGCGTTTAATTATTTTAAGCGAATGTAAACACGCATCAGGAAGCACGCTTCTGTCGATAAGACACGCTTTTTACTGCTTAGATTTTTATAGGATTTCTTTAATTAAGATTGAGAACTCAGAACTTATTTACAAGCTTTTCTCTCATCATAAGGAGTGCATAGTCTAAGTACTAAAACATGCTTCTCTATTCAATTTATACTTTTTTAAACCAATTTCCTCAACCAATTTTACAAGATTAGACGAATTTCTGTAAAATGAAAAAGAACTCGTACTTTTCAATTAGAGCATTTAATTAAATGGTTAAATTTGTTCTCCATAGTCCCAATTGTTAATTTAAGCTGCTTAAAAGTATTTTTTTATGGGGGGGATTTTTTAAGAATGAATAATATAAATAGAATTGGATATGTATGAAGTAATCCAAACTTTTATACATTCTCTAATTGTAACTTTAAATCGAAAGAAAAAAAGGTTGACATTTTATCTTAAAAAATGGCGGAAATGGTAAATTTTTTCTCCATGGTTCCAATTGTTAATTTAAACAGCTTAAAAGTTTTTTTTTGGGGGGGGGGATTTGTTAAGAATGAATAATATAAATAGAATTGGATTTTTATGAAGTAATCAAAACTTTTATATATTCTCTAATTCTAACTCTAAATCTAAAGAAAAAAAATGGCTTACGTATCTTGAAAAATGGCGGAAATGGTAAATTTGTTCTCCATAGTTCCAATTGTAGTTTTGAACAGTTTAATAGTATCATTTTTGAGTAATGTTAATAAATAATATAAATAGAATGGGATTTTTATGGAGGTAACAAAACTTTACTTACATGTTTTCTAATAATTGTTCAAATATCCATTGATTTTAATTTAAACAAATTGTCTCACTTTTCGTCTTAAAATATGGCGAATATATTAAATTTGTTTTCCGTAGTTCCATTGTTTTTTTTTTTTTAACAGAATAATAATGGTATTTTTGAGAATTGTTCATTATGAATAACATACTTAAATCCTATTCGTTTTTTCATGTAGGAAACAAAATTTTTATGTTTTATAATTGTTCAAATATCAATTTACTTTAAAGAAAACAGAGGCTGACATTTTATCTTTAAAAAAATGTAGGATAGGTTCAATTTTTTTCTCACAGAGTTCCAATAAATACGTTATTGAGGTAACAAAACTTTTGCATGTTTTCCTATTATTGTTAAAATATCCATTGATTTTAATGAAAAAAAATGAAAAAAGACCAACTTTTCGTCTTTAGAAAATAGCGAATGTTCATTTTTTCCTCCATAATTAAATTGTTTTTTTGAACAACCTAATTGGTATTATTTTTTCGGGGATGATAATTATAAATTATATACCTAAACGCTATGAGATTTTTACGAAGAAAACAAAACTTTTACGTGTTTTCTAACTATTGTTCAAATATCCGTAGATTTTAAATAAAAACATGACATTTAGTTTAACAAATGACGAATATGTTAAATTTTTTCTCAATAGTTAAATTGTTGTTTTGAACAGCGTAATTAGTATTATTTTTGGGGAATGTTAATTATGAATTATCTAACAAAATACTGTGAGGTTTTTATGAACGAAACAAAACTTTTATACGTTCTGTAATTCATGTTCAAATATCCATTGATTTTCACTATCGTCTTAAAAAAATGGCGGATAAGTTAACTTTTTTCACAGAGTTCCAATTGAATTTTTAAACAGAATAATAGTATTATTTTGGGGGAATGTTAATAAATATAATAAATAGAATGGGATATTTATGGAGGTAACATAACTTTTATATGTTTTCTAATTATTGTTCAAATATCCATTGATTTTAATGAAAAACAATGACTCACTTATCACCTTAAAAAAAGGGCGGATGTGTTAAAAAAAATTTTTCCCCATAACAGAATAATAGTATTATTTTGGTGGAATGTTAAGTATGAATAATATACTTAAATACTATGCATTTTTTACACAGGAAACAAAACTTTGATGTTTTCTAATTATTGTTCAAATATCTTAATCAATATTTTAAGAAAAAAAAAAAAAGGCTGACATTTTATCTTTAAAAAAATGTAGGATATATCAAATTTTTTCTCCATAGATCCAATTGTTTTTTTGTTTTTTAAATAGAATAATATTATTATTTTGGGGAAATATTATTAAATTCTTATGGATTCTTATAGAGGTAACAAAACTTTTACGTTTTTTATTATTGTCCAAATAGCCATTGATTTTAATGAATAAATGGGTCACTTTTCGACTTCAGAAAACGGCGATAAGTTAAATTTCTTAACTTCTTTTTTCTTCTTTTTCTTTTCTTAAATTTAATCTTAAATTTCTTAACTTTTCTTTTCGTAAAGTTTCTTTGGAATGTTAATTAACAATAATGTACTTAAATACAATACAAATATAAAGTAGTATATACAAATATAAATTTGTATGAAGGAAACAAAGCTTTTACGTTTTTAATTTATTGTTCAAATATCAATTGATTTGAACGAAAAAAAGGCTTATATTTTATCATAAAAAAATGAAGAATATGTTAAATTTTTCCGCATAGTTCCAATTGATTTTTGAACAGAATAATAGGGTTATTTTTTGGGGAGAATGTTGATAATGAATAATATAATCAAAATGATTTTCTTACGAAGGATACAAAACCTTTAAGTGTTATAATTATTGTTGAAATATCCATTGATTTGAAAAAGGGAAAAAATTTGACTGACATTTTATCTTACAAAATGGCGGATATGTGGAATTTTTTGCTCCCTAGTTAAATTCTTGTTTTTTGGTAATGTTAATTAAGAATAATATACTTAAATACTATAAGATTTTTATGAAGGAAACAAAGCTTTTAAGTTTTTTAATTATTGTTCAAATATCAATTGATTTTAAATGGCGGATATGCTAAATTTTCTCCATAGTTCCAATTGTTTTTTTGAACAGAATAATATGATTATTTTTGGGGAATGTTAATAATAATATAAATAGAATGGTTTTATGGAGGTAACAGAACTTTTCCGTGTTTTATAATTATTGTTCAAATATCCACTGATTTTAAAGGGAAAAAAATGGCTGACATTTCGTCTTAAAAAAATGGCGGATATGTATAATTTTTTCTCTGTAGTCAACTTGATGTTTTCAACAGCGTAATAGTATTATTTTTGTGGGAAAAATAATAATAAATAAAATTAAATAGAATGAGTTTTTAGTGAGTGTTTTAAAGAGTTAAGAAAACTTTCTCACGCGTTTTTCACTCGCAGTGTTTAAAATAGAAAGGCACGTTTTGTTGTTGTTATTTGTCCGTTGTTGAAGTAGAATTTGATGGGAGTGGCAGGCGGGCGACGGGGTGGATGCGCGGATGCGTTCGAGTCGTCCTTCCCCCGAGTGAGCGCCTGTCGGAGTTGCGCCCGCTCGGCGGCAGGGCCAGTCTTATTGACGCGTATCACGCGAGCGGACCATGTCTCCCCGGTCAATAATCTACTCATAGAGCCCATTACAGCGAGTTAACAGATTGCCGTCGAAGGAGGAGAGATGGATGAGGTCAAAGCCTAAAAAAAGGCCGTGCAGTCGATGTCCGCCTCTGGTCGAGGTTAGTCGTCTCTCCTCCGCGCGCACAGCCGCTCCTCCTTCAAGGACCGACCGAAAATGGGCCCGCTCAGGTTCACGCACGCACTCGTCTCGAGGGTGTCCGCGGCTTACAAGTCCCTCACCGGGTCGGACCTCGAATTGGCGAAGAAACAGCACGAGGTGTACGTGAGGCTGTTACGCGACCTCGGCCTCGACGTCATCGAACTGCCTCCGGACGACGATTTGCCCCGCGGCGTCTTCATCGAGGACACAGCCGTCGTCTGCAACGGCATCGCCCTCATGGCAAAGCCCAAAGATCAGAACAGGAGAAAAGAGGTAAATAACGTCTCACAGACCAACAACAACAACAAAGAACAACACCGTCCTCTTTCCGCACTTTCACCCTTAGAAACGGGACTTCCAGGCGTTTATCCGCTGGAACGGCTGCACTATTTCATCGTTCACCTTTCACTTCCTCTCCACACGACTCTGGAATTTTTTTTTTAAATTTTTACCTCCAAAAAATTAATGAATTTTTCCCTTAACTAATTTGAAACCATCGAAATTTGACATCTGCCATTTCAATACCCTCCAACGACATTAAAATCGCCGTGATTTCCCTTTAATTGTGCAGTAAATGTCCCTCTTCAATTGGAATTTGTTTAGAACATGTTGCAAGCGTCCAAGGAAGAGAAAAAACCAATTAAAAACTTCAAAGAATCGCAAATATTTTAGATTTTTTTATGTTAAATTCTACAGAACCAAAGCAATAATTGAAAAAAATTACTTAAAAACAACAAATTCAATTGCAAAATTTTGTACATAATTAAATTTAAACATTCGGTTTCCAGGCGAAACAGGTGAAGAATATTTTCACGATTTTTTTCTTGCAGTTATAAAAAATTTATTATTAATGATTAAATTTGGTTCTTATATTCAAATTGTAGAAAAAACTTTTTTTTAACTTAATTTAATTTTTTTTAATGGTGGACGTGGACTTTGTTTAGAATATGTTGCAAACGTTCAAAGAAAAGAGAAACCAATTAAAAACATCAGCAAATCACAAATATTTTAGATTTTTTCTATTAAATTCTATAGAAACAATACAATCATGGAAAAAAATACTTAAAAACAATAAATTTAACTGCAAAATTGTGAAAATAATAAAATTTAAACGTTCAGTTTCCAGAAGGAACAGTGAAGAATGAAAATATTTTCATGAATATTTCTTCATTATAAAAAAATTATTATTAACAAATTTTCAATTAAATGCGTTATTATATTCAAATTGAAACAAAATGTAACAAGTGATTTCCTTTTAATGATTATTATTTATTTATTTATTTATTTTTTTAAATGGTGGAAGTGGAATTTGTTTGGATATGTTGCAAGAGATCAAGAAAGAGAAAAACTTCGGCAAATCACAAAAATTGTAGATTTTTTATATTAAATTCGATAAAAACAAATCAATAATGGAAAAATATTTACTTAGAAACAACAAATTTAATTATGATATGGTTTACATAATTAATTCTCCTGGTGGAACAGGTGAAGAATGAAAATAGTTTCATGAATTTTTCTTCGTTATAAAAAATTTATTATTAACAAATTTCAATTAAATTGCGTTATTATATTCAAATTGAAACAAAATGTAACAAGTGATTTCCTTTTAATTATTTTTTTTTTTTTTTAATAGTGGAGTTGGAATTTGTTTAGAATATGTTGGAAGCGATCAAGGAAGAGAAAAACCAAGAAAAAACTTAAGTGAATCACAAATATTTCAAATTGTTTTCTATTAAATTCTATAGAAACAAATCAATAATGGTAAAAATTACTTAAAAACAACAAATTTAATTGCAAATTTTTGAAGATAATAAAATTTAAACGTTCAGTTTCCAGAAGGAACAGTGAAGAATTAAAACATTTTTATGAATTTTTCTTGCAGTTATAAAAAATTTATTATTAACAATTTTTAATTAAATTTTGTTGATATTTTCAAATTGAAACAAAAACTAACAAGAGATTGTAAATAGAATTTGTTTAGCATATGTTGCAAGCGTTTAAGGAAGAAAAAATCCAATTAAAAACTAAAGGGAATAACAAATATTTTAAATTGTTTTGTATTAAATTCTATAGAAACAAATCAATACTGATAAAAATTACTTAAAAAAACAAATTTAATTGCAAAATTTTTTACATTATTAAATTTAAACATTCGTTTTCCAGACGGAAGGTGAAGAATGACCATATTTTTATGAATTTTTCTTGCAGTTATGAAAAATTTATTATTAACAATTTTCAATTAAATTTTGTTGTTATATTCAAGTTGAAACAAAAAGTAACAAGAGATTTTCTTTTAATGATGGAAGTGTCGTTAGGAAAAAATTTAGAATCTTGAATTCTCTGAAGTTTTTTACATGGTTTTCTCCTCCTTGTACACTTGCAACATATTCTAAACAAATTCAACTTCCACAAATTTTGATGTAAAAGAAAACATTAACATTTAATTAAAACTTGTAAATAATAAATTTCTAATAGCTGCAGGATAATTTCAATAAAATATTTTCAATCTTCAACTGTTCCAACTTGAAATTGAATGTCAAAATTAAATTAAACAGAATTGGCCAAGCAGACCACGAAAAATAGTGAAATTAATTAAACAGAATATTTGTGATTAAATTTGTTGTTTGAAACAATTATTGATTTAGTTTGTTTACAGTTCAACAGTAAAAATTCAAAATATATGTGTCTCCTTGAACACTTTTGTAGGTAAAAGATAGCATTAAAATTTAATTGAAGCTTGTAAATAATAACAAATCGTGGTATTGTCAAAATATTTTCCTTCTTGACCTGTTCAGATTAGACAAATAATGAAAAAATTCAATGTCTGCAAGCCAGTGAACCCAGTTGTTCATCTCAAAATAAATTTTTTAATTTTTTTTACAAGCAATTTTTCCATTATTGGTTCATTTCAATATTTTATACTAAAAATGGAAGCAAAAAATGATTTTCTGAAGCTTTGACTTGACAATTAAATATTTTAACCGCTTTCTACTCTTCTTAACTGACTCTACACAAATGTACTTTTCACTATTTCTCTTTTTTTCACTAAGTGAATGAATTTTTCTATCGAAAGAAAGTTTCTTGTTGATTTTTCAAATTTTCAGTTTAACATCAAAACAAATATTTATAAGTTGAAAGAAAGATAATTTTTAAAAAGATTTTTGATTGTTTAGCTGTTTTAATATCAAAAGATTGCTCGATGTGTCTCACTGAATTAAACGATGCTTTCCTTGGTTCTATATAGAGAGCAAGTAGGAATACAATCGAATAATTGTGCTTGATTGTTCAGGCCTCTTCCGAGATTATTTATTAGTATTTATTGTCTCGAGTAGTAGTGTGAGAGAGACAATGGTGGTGTATTGAGTACCCATTCAACCCTCAGATTAATTGTACAATATGTAAAAAGGGCAATGGAGAAATATCTAGTACTGAACACCTTAATTGAATGACAAATTGGAAAGAATCTGGAGTGAATGGGTTTCAATATAAAAACTGCATTCGTTGGGTGCTGAAATGACCTAGCTGTTGACCTAATAAGACCGAGGTCTGACCGTCGAATACCAAAACTCATAGTAGGCAATTCTCACGATCGAAGAAATAAAATGTAATTAACAATTGTATATTTATAATACGCAATAACTCTGGATTTTGAATCCAGAACTTTTTCTCTGTTGCTGCGTTTTAAAATTTTTAAGATAAAATTTGAAGTTAAAAATGGAGATATTTTGATTCTTTAAAGTTTACCTTCACATTTCAACATTTGAACAACTGTTAAAACACGCTCGTATTCTTGTGGAAACATTTAAAACCTATAGACAAAGCGGCAAAATTTGCTTTCTACCTTTTTTGTTTCTAAATTTACACTTAAAGAAAACAATTAACATTGATTTAAGATTCAATTCAAATTTCATGGAAAATTTAAAAAAAAAGAACTTATTTTTTGCCAAGTTGCTTTAAACTGTTTATGCTTTAAAAATATCATAAAAATAATGTACATATTTGAACTACTTAAATTTAAAAAAATATTGATAAAATTAAATTGACAATGATAAAAAGTAATTTTTTTCAATATTTTAAACATTAAATTCACTATTTTTCGTGGTCCGCTTGACCAATTAATAACATTCAATTAATTAAGGTTTTTAAGTTGAGATAAAAAGTCAGTGTCACGAGCGGGATTCGAACCCACGACCTTCAGCTTGATACACCGCTCCTCTGCCACTTCATCGAAGTCACGATAGCTCAAGTGGTAGAGTAGCGGCGTATCAAGCCGAAGGTCGTGGGTTCGAATCCCGCTCGTGACACTGATTTTTTATTTCAACTTAAAAACCTTAATTAATTGACTTTTAAACATTTTTCCATTGTTGAATTATTTAAATTTAAAATTTTATTGTACAACTAGAAAGATGTAGTTTCAAAAGCAAAATGTTTGTGTACTTTTTTGATGCTTTTTTTGTGCAAATTATTGAGCTTAAAACTAATTTTTTAAATATTTAAAATTGTGAAAATTATGAATTTTTTTTTGTATTATTGTAATGTTTCAATTGAAGTTCCTACTTGAACCATTACCTTTAACAATTCTTACATTGTGATTTATGTGTGGTCTGAGTGTACAGACCCAACACTGCAGATGGCAATATGCCAAAACATGTCTGACGTGCCGACAAAGTGAGAGGTAGATCAGTATGATCGGTGATGACAAAATTGTAGATTCTGAAATTCCAAATACAGACAGTTTAAATCTCATTGAAATTAAATTTGCCGGAAAATATTAAAGTTTTAATGTTAAATGTTGAACGCTAAATGGATAAAAACGTCAGTTTTAACGAATAACATTGGTGCAAGCAGTCCCTCCTAACTGAACAGTCCTAAAAATTAAAAAATTAAAAAAATTACAAGGAAAATTATAACAATTTTTACACTGTTGTACTAGTTTATAGCCTTATGTTAAATCATGAGTTTGAATCTTTAGAAAACAAATTTTCACATTTGTGTTATTAGTAATGATTATATTTGAAAGGAAATTTTCAGAACAAAATTGTAAAGATTAATTCTGATTAAAATCATGAATTAAATTTGTCCAAAAATGCTAACAAGATTTTTCACTAGATAAATATTGATAGGTTGAAAAATTCCAAGTTCTCCGTGGTTGAAAACCTTTATTCAATTTAGTAAATTACATGGCGTTTTGGGCTCCTGGCCCATCATCAGAAACTAAACATAGAGAAATCTCATGGTATAATTCCCAATCTGAAGGCACACCCATCAGTTTAAATAATTTAAAAAATTGGAGATTACTGATGGGTGTGCCTTCAGATTGGGAATTATACCATGAGATTTCTCTATGTTTAGTTTTTGATGATGGGCCAGGAGCCCGAAACGCCATTGTAATTCACTAATTATTCAGAAATCATGAGATGCAGTCTGGTGTGATGTCGGAAAAACATTTTCTTTATCGTGCCAACGTTTCGATCTTTATTGAGATCATCTTCAGGGCCTGAGATTTACAAGGATTGATTACATTTAACATACATGTAGGATGTGGAAAAAAGTGAATTTATACAATGCAATAAAGATCGAAACGCACGATAAAGAAAATGTTTTTTTGAAACCTATATCACACCAGACCGCATCTCACGATTTCTGAATAATTATCGATTAACGACCGTTAACCACATGTAATTTACTAAATTGATTAAAGGTTTTCAACCACGGAGAACTTGGAATTTTTCAACCTGTCAATAGAGAAGATACGAACCGTGGAGTTGGTAATATATAAAATAGATGAATATTGAAAATTTGATATTAAATGCAAAATTTTACTGTTTACTTTTAATTCTGAGCTTTTAAAAATTTATAAAAAGGTTGATTCAGTACACTGCTGAGTAGGCTTTAATGTTCAAATAATACTATTAGCAAATATTCACTCTTACTCAACAGATTTAAGAATTTTTTTTAATCTGCCGGATGTGCAAAAAAAACATTAAACAATGATTAATTGTTTTTTCTTTTCAATTTGAAAAATAATTTCTCGGAAACTGGATCAACATCTCGCAATAAAAATTAAACAAAAAATATATTTTATAGAAAACAAGTTGAGCTTTTTATGGCCTGCACACCGCGATCAGTTTTGGTCTGTTCTGCATCTCCATTATTGACTAGACCTACACATTAAATTTAAGGCTTTTTCAAAGATTTATTCTGTGCTTTTCTTCTCCAAAGAGTAGGAATCTGAGCCTACATAAACCTTCGCCCCAACAGAGGGGTTCTGCTTCATCCTGACAATATCTGCACAGGCTTGTTTCTGCTACTCCGACCCGATACACATGCCTCTGGAGTCTACAGGGCCCAGTTAACAATCCAACTATTATTCTAGTCCTAGGACGCTCTAGATTTATTAGTTCTGTCGTTAGCCAGATGAGTTTTTCATGCCTATATCCAGGGCTCTGTTCTCATTGAACCAAGGATTATTTTAATGGAACCACATTTTCGGCAGTTTGGTACAACACAAAAGGTGTCTTCATTGAACCTTTCTTGGCCAATTTATCGACCTCTGCCCTGCCAAAGGTACCCAGGCAAAGGTAATTTTGTTGTTTATCCAAATGTCTAACAGGGCCCTACACAATCCCAAATGATCCTTTACTTTACCACCTATGAGGTAATTGCCTTATGTGCCGCATGGCTGTCTGAGTAGATGACTATAATAAAATAGTAAAAATTGAACAATTTTTATTCCAAAAATTAATTCTAAAAGTTTTTCTGCATTTTCACTGTTGAAATTACATAGGACTATCTATTAATTAATAATAGTAAGAACTTGTTTAGCAAATTAAAATTTAAAAAACAGTTGAAAGTTAATACTTTCTTGATAATAATTTCTATGGCAGAAATTTGTTGCATTTATTTTTGAATGGTCGGGTCTTAAATTTTGTTCTTAATCAATTTGGCATTTTAATAATGTAAGTGTTCAACAATCAGTAACACAATCTTCAGTAACATTTTGAATTGTTAAAAAAAAGTTGATTACTATAAAAGTAAGTTTTCAGGCTACTTGTATCTAAATAGGAGGACATTCCAGTTTGAATGATTAAAAAGATTATATTATTAATATTAGAAACATCAATAATGTGCTTTTCAAACCCAGATATCGTATCGTCATTGACAGAAATAACAAACTAAAAATACAATAAAAATGAAAACAAACCTTTGATAACCCTGTTTTAAAATCCCCATTCATCTAATCTGCCTTAGTCAATTAATCTTTCTTTTTGAATTTGTTTACAATTTCTTTCATTGAACAGGTAGATACAGTCCGAGTAGTCCTGAAGAAGGAACTTGAGTTACCAATCGTCGAAATTAAAAATGAATCGTCATACCTCGAAGGCGGAGATGTCTTATTTACAGGTATACCTACTTAATTGTTTATACATGTTATTAATTTAATAAAACGAGAATTTCTACAGGTCGGGAGATCTTCGTCGGCTTGTCTGACTTTACTAATGAAGCCGGAGCAAGAGCGGTGGCCAACGCTTTCCCCGAGTTCCCTTGCACACCCATAAAAGTATTTATAATAAATGATCAAATTGTCCGCAGTGTAATACAATAAATTTTTCTTGTTAGATTTCAGAGCCGAATAAACATTTAAAATCGTTTGTGACAGTGGCTGGGCCGGAGGTTTTATGTGTCAGTGCGAGCCAAGGATCTCAGGATGTTATAAAGGTAATAAATATAGTATTATAAATATTCTATAATATGCCCCTTATCTACTTACAGAATTTTATGAGGAAGTCTTGTTTTTTTATTAATATGTTGAAAATTAATAAAATATGTTCAACAATTTGTAGATAGATTTAAACTTTTTGCCGGCACATTTTTCCACTGCATTTTTAAAATTTCTGTATTTCTATATTCTGCAATCACCTGGGATACATCTGCACCCTTCACATACAAACAATCGATATTCATTCACTCACCGATAACTACTTACAACATGCTAATAAATACACTCATTCGTCTACTCACATGCCATACTACATACAATTAAGAATAAATTTAGGACAACATTGAGGGCTCAATATTCCGCCGATGACCACTCCTCTCGTAAGACAGCCTAGAAACAGGCCATCGAGGTACTAAAATATCCCGACGAATGGCCTGCTCTCGTTCATGCCCATTCCTGTACTTATTTAAAATAACCTTGCATCCATAATCAATCACGCTAATAAATACACTCATTCCTCTACACACATGCCATACTGTATACAATTAAGAATAATTCCTTAAATTCACTATTTTCGTGGTCCGCTTGACCAATTAATACTTTACAATTAATTAGTTGAGATGAAAAAAAGCTAATGGCACGAGAGGGATTCGAACCCACGACCTTCAGCTAGATACGCCTCTGCTCTACCACCTGAGCTATCGTGACCTCGATCCACTCGGACATCTCAACTAATAATTGTAAAGTATTAATTGGTCAAGCGGACCACGAAAATAGTGAATTAAATGAATTAAAATGAAGTACACTTCACTAAGGCTCTCCGTCGCCATTTCAATTGGCATCGAGAATCAAAACCGATTACACGACATTTGAAAAATGGCAAAAGGAGGGAAAACTCATAAGGTGGGGCTGAGATGGGGAGTTGATGTCCGAGTGGATCGAGGTCACGATAGCTCAGGTGGTAGAGCAGCGGCATATCTAGCCGAAGGTCGTGGGTTTGAATCCCTCTCGTGCCATTAGCTTTTTTTCATCTCAACTAAAAACCTTAATTAATTGTAAATTAAGAATAATTCGAGGGCAACTGAGGAACTTGATATTCCGCCGATGACCACTCCTCTCATTCGTACTATAAGGCTAAAAATAGAAACAGGCCATCAAGGTACTAAAATTTCCTGACAAATGGCTGGTTCGGGGGTTCATGCCCATTCCTGTACTTATTTAAAATAACCTTGCATCCATAATCAATCACGCTAATAAATACACTCACTCATCTGCATTCATGCAATATTATAAATAAAATATAATAGGGGGGGCCACTGGGGTACTTAATCTGCCAATGATCACTTCTGTCATTCATACCAAAAACTACTAAACCTGGATACAGATCGTCGAAGTACTTGGATATATTGTCAGACGGCTTGTTCTCATGCATACCCATTCATAAAGCATTCTAGATAATAAATACATTCATATTGCACATATACAAAGGTGAAGATTATAGTAACTTTTACTACTCGTAAATATTCCTATAAATTCTGCTGGTAGTCACTGTTATGCACCAAGATTTTCTTTTAGCCTGTTAAAACCCAGAATTGTTCTTTTTTTTAAATATAAACAACAAATAAAAGAAAACAAAATTAATAAGTAATAAATAACTAAGTTTATAATTAAATTTTCAGAAAAGGTTTATTTGATATCGACTAGAGCAGTATCGCTTTGAGTTGTGAACGTGTTTATTGACACTAACTGGCAAAGACTATTGGCAAACAATCCTTGTTTTCATGGCAACCCCTCTTGTTTACATTTTGGGGCAAGGGCCATTACCAAAACTCCACCTTGAATAAAAGTAATCAAGACGCTTTCTTTTTTCATTGTACGTTGATACAATAGAAAACAAGAAAATAATCTAATTTTTACTGACAATTATGTTTATAATTTTTTTTAATATATAGAACAAGGAAATTATTAATAATCAAGTAAAGAAGTAAATTTATTACAAATTTACAATATTCGAAAAGAAAGCCTGTAAGAACTGAAAAAAACTACAATAGGGAGGTGTTATTGTTTCAAGTATTGATTGACAAGGTGAGTGGGGGTAACTTCAACGGTAATAGTTTTTTTGCTATGATTTGTTCAGAAAATCCATACCGGCTTAACCGCTATTTCTTAGCTCATGCTGTTAATTTTAGACGTGAGCAGATCGTAAAAATTAACATTCGCCTGTTGCCCTTGAAAGTGATGGGTTTTAATGAGCGTTTTATTCATTCTTGCATCACTCGTCAAAACTGCAGATTTAATTTTAGACTATCTGTCAAAGACGATAAAAATAAAAATGATTCAGTTTTTAAATTTATAATCATATTATTATAATTTTAATTAACTGATTTTTTTAATATTATTTCTTTATGTTTTATAATTTTGTCTTCCATCTGACTTAAATAATTTATTTTTAAAGTGATTAACCTTCAACTTAAGATTACATAACTAGGATTTTATAATATGAGGGGACGGTATTGAGTGGTTAAGATGTCAGACTCTCGGCTAGCGGATCCTGTGGTCGTCGGTTTGATTCCCACCTTGGGATTTTTCTGACGTGTTAATGATTCTTCCCTGGCTGGAAGTCTTGTTGAACTCTAACTGCTCGAACTACAAGTCCGAGGATGTCAGCATGACTTCTTCGAATTTCATTTTTTTTTCTGTCCTTTAGTTTACTTTCCATCGTGGCGTCGACATATCTGAACAGGCAGCAACCTGTTCCCATAGTCTTTTCGAAATCTGATTCGGAGACGCTCACGGTTTAGTTTTGAAATTTTATTTTGATTGTGATGTTAAGCAAGTTTCTGATTGGACATTTTGGCATAGATGTAATATGTTTAAAAAAAAAAGAACCAAAAAGTCCTAATTAATTATGGTCTTAATCTTAACAGTTTCAGAGTTATTTCACTTTTTCTGATCTTATAAGGATTCATGACCTTGCTTCAAATAAACAGTGATAATGCTAAAACTAAAAGGTTTTGGACAAATCTGTCGATATCATTGAAAACTTTGTTAAATTTCCAATGAGGTGTGATCAATACTAAACCATACATAAAAATTTGTTTTTTTTTCAAAGTTGAAAAACTTATGGTGATTCTAAAGTACTATTTCCAAACCCCAAACCTAGAGACTAGCAAATTTCAGAAAACAAACCCCATTTTATATCCTTCTGTTTTTTTTTATATTTTTATCCCCCCCCCCCCCGGTCATATAAACCCTCAGGGTGCCGGTGATTTTGAAAATGCAGGGCCGCTGGATACGAACATGGGACCTTTACCTTACAGTGATGAGCGCCGTGTCAAAGACTAAGCCTTGCAGCCACTGACGCCCCCACAATTTTTTTTAAATTCCTTTTTTAAAAGATGAAGAATTGATGAAAGAAAAGAAAAAATGTGGATGAAGGATTGGTAAGGTGGAAAGATTAATAATAATAATAAATAAAAAACTTAAAGAAATTTTGAAAGAGTTTGTTAAACATTTTTTCATTTTGATTCGAAATGCTCTCCACTCTCTGCAATGTATTTTCAGCACGCTGCTGTCACTTTAAGCCACAAAACCCATAAGTTGCATATCAGCATATTCTTCATTTGAAAAAATTGCCATAATGTTAACAAGATTTCACACAGATAATTAAAAACGTTTTGAATCTTAAACTCTTTTATTCCAGAAAATAATGATACAATAATAGTTTCTTCAAAGTTGCAGTTGTGTTGGAAAATAAGTAAACACTTCCACTATTGAACCCAAATTTAAAAAAAAAGTTTAATAAATTCATTCAAAATTACCTTCAGTTTTTTGTTTTTAATTTTCCACCTTACCAATCCATCAATCACAGTTTTTTTCCTTCCCTCCATCAATTTCTTCATCTTTGAAAAAAACAATTAAAAAAGCAATTGCACCACAAAAGGATATTAAATGGGGTATGTTTTCTGAAATTTGCTGGTCTTTAGGTTTGGAAATAGTAGTTTAGAATCACCATAGTATGTTTTTCAACTTTGAAAAAAAAAATTTTTTTTTTTCGAAGTTCTCGCTACTAAAACACTTATTTCATGAACGTTTACAAGTTTAATATTGATCACATCTTATTGGAAATTTAATGTAGTTTTCAATGGTCTAACAGATTTGTCCAAAACCTTTTAGTTTTGGAGTTATCATTGTTTATGTGAAGCAAGGTCATGAAATCTGAAAAAATCAGAAAAAGTGGAATAACTCTGAAACTGCTGAAATTCGGACCATAGTTAATTTGGACTTTTTGGTTCCTTTTTGAATGTAGAATTTACGGGCAAAGTTTGTAGCACGCGTAACCCTGTATGTTGTTATTTAAACTGTTGAATGTGTTTTAAGAGTTGCATCTGGTAATGATAAAACAAGCACGTTAAATTTTGGCCTGTTGCCTATTTATCAGTGTTTTAAAACCTTTAAAGATTTATGACGATGCTCGTAATCTAAAGAAGGAATTAAGCTGGCGTTGGGCCAAAAGGAAAACATCTTAGAACATGAGTTACGGCTCTTCTTGTAAACAAATTGACCTTTTTTTAAAAATTTCTTTCTTTTTTTGTTATGTGCAATATAGGATAAGCTAAACTTACTTAAAACAAGAAAAAAACCCTTTATTCTTTGAAACCTTATTTGTACAAATGTACCTTCTTTAAAGCTCTGATTCATTACTGATAATGGACCAGTCGTCAGGAGAAGCACAGCAAATTGCATTCTAAAAGTACGACATTTGGTTTATACTCAAATGTCGGCTATGTAGGATTTAACAGTGTTAAATCAGCCGGTGAAAATATTTTAACTGTTTCATCGTTTCAGAGGATCGAAAGGGAGGCGACGCACACTTATCAGACAATAACGGTTCCTGAAGATAACGCTGCTAATGTCATTTACTGCAACGGGACCCTGATACACAGAGCAGCTGCAGACACACCGTTATCAGCTAAGGTATTTGACACAATAACATTAACTGTGTTTCACCTTAAGGACTAATAACTAATTTTGCAATTTTTTCAATCATCAACTTTTTTTTATTACATATTAAATTTTATGCAAAAAAGGTTGAAATGAAAAATTCATACCCCAGTGCTTTACCAATAGAGTTGTCCCGTTAGGGACTAATACGTAATACACTCAAAGAAAAAAAAAATCACTTATATTTATTATTTATCTCAAACATGTGGTGATTAGGGACTGTTAGCTGATTATTCAGAAATCGTGAGATGCGGTCACATTCCAAACACATAATCAATAACTACAACTCATCACTAACACCATCCACTATTACTAATAATACCACATCAAATCTATCAAGTACAAACAAACCAACATACATTTCCATGCATAAATTAAACACATTTCTCTCGTCCGATAACTTTAAAATAGCTTTCAAAAATTATAAAACAATTCAAACATTTTTTCCAAAATTAAAGATCCCACACCAATAACAAATAAATCTGAAGTAATCTACAAAATCAATTATTGTTTAAACTGACCGGCAACTTACGTCAGTCTTACATCCCAATATCTGGACAAGAGATTAAGCAACATGTCTATGCAAAAAAACCCAAGCAAAATCCGACAGCACTCGCTACCCACCATTTTGAACACAAACACAATTTCGACTTCAACAATCCAAAAATATTACACACAGCACTAAACAAACATAAACGTAACTTTTTAGAAATAGTTTACATCAACAGAGATAAACACAGAATCAATTACAGAACAGATACATGTAAACTCAGTCGCAGCTACGCCAATATCATTAATCAAATTCAATATAGATAACATACATATATCATTACATTACATTCCACACATCAAATATTTTTCATAGTCTAATTGTCCAACAATTTAGCTTTCCTTTTCCTATTTATCCCTTTCTATATAATCCTGAAAGGATAATCTGGCCGAACCATTACCAACGTTTTTTCTTTTCGTCGGCTCTTTTCACCTCAAAAAAGCTGACTCAATGTCTTTCTATACCGACTTCCTTCCCCACCCCTTCAAAATCCAACATATATAAACATAAAACTGCAATATCACAGCTCGCAAAGGCTTTGGAAAGTTTTTTTACAAATATTGATGGTTTGTTATGACCAAGACAATGTTTCATCGACTGTGATACTAAGATTCTTTAATGATTTGGACAGCAGTGTTTTGTGGTTATTTATTAAGATATTTACATTTTCTACATTTATATAGTTTAAGTTTCTTCTAGTTCCTATCAGCATTGCTTGACATTTATCATAGTTTATTGCTACCCTATGTTATTCACACACCATCTGTTTAGTTCTTTTAAATCGTTATTAATCTTTTCAACCATTGCATGCACATTTTCTTCGTTATCTGAACAATATGCTTGAAGGTTGTCTGTGAACATTATGCTCTTGACATTTTTAAAACGTGTTTGTGTGTGAACTATGAAATTGTTCCCGACTAATAAATTTCTCGGTATGACGTTGTTCGAAGCTGATTCGAAAATTAATCAACGTCACCGCGATAAATGCTCATCTAGCGTTCCATCTACGATTGAACATTTTACGCTTTAATAGTTCAATCGTCATACTGGTTATTTGTCTCATTCGGATGATGATTTTGATCGAATCACTCAGGCACAGCTGTCTTGGCTCTCTGTTCAAGTTAACCCTGCAGAACATATCAGTCGTTTAAATTTGATACCTGAAAATGTGCTACTACACAATTATCCGACTAGTACATTTTTGTGACATGCTGGACTTTATGTAAAGTTATTTGAAGATCGAGAGATGCAGTCTGGTGTGACGTAGGTTTAGAAAAATATTTCCTTTATAGTGCCAACGTCCTTTATCGTGCCAGCGTTTCAACCTTTATTGAGATCATCATCAGTGCCCTAGGATTTATAAACATTTCTACAATGATAGAAATTGATTTTTTCACATCCTACATGTATTTCTATAATTTAAACAATGTTCATGAAGATGATCTGATTAAAGAACGAAATGTTGGCGCGATAAAGAAAATGTTTTTCTGAAACCTACGTCACACCAGACCGCATCTCACGATTTCTGAATAATTTATCTCAAACTATACATATTTTTATAATTATATTAATTATAACAAATTTATTTAAAGTAAACCGAATTATGAATGGGATCAGAAATTCGTGAGTTTTATTGTAATAAAAATTACCACCTCTGGCAGAATGTCTCTTAGGCATGGAGTAAATAAGCGATCGAATTTCATTTCGTGAAACAGAATCCCATTCTTTAACAAGAGTGGTTTGAAGCTGTTCAACACTTGCTTGGAGGTCAATCCTTTTTAAAAAGATGGTTCGTACTCACAGTAAGTATGGAAATATGGACACAGTAAAAATGGAAATATGCAAGATCCCCTTCCAGCAAATATAAAATTATCCTTGTTTCTATCTTCTTTCTTTTAATACCATCTCACACAGTTATTTTAATTGTTGTGTGTTCCTCCAGCACATTTAAAACATGTTTCTTCATTTGCTTGACATAGGCGTGATGTGTGCCCATATCGTTGGCATTTGAAACATTGGGTTGTCTCATACTGTTTTCCTGGACAGACCTGGTAATCTAGGAATATTTTCGTTGCCTTCATGACCATTTCCCATTGCTTGGGTAGCATTTCTACAACCCAAAATACTAGTTTGTCTGTTCCTTCACGGGGTTTACCATAGGGTACTGTATGAAGGGGTTTAACATTTTCAGTGTTCCATTCCTCACCAAATTCAGGGTTATTGCCAATTAACTGCTGGAATAATTGTTCTTTGGTGACAGAACACGGGACACGCAGTATTATGATTCTTGGCTCTTTTTTACTTAAGCCCCTCGTGGTGTTAGTCCTTTTTGGTTGAAGGCTACATAAGCCATGGTTTTCTTTCCATCTTCATGTCTGCAGTTTTATAGCTACACCGCCATTGTGTGGCCCTAATGCCTTCTATTTTTATTCCTGTGTTTTTAGGTTTGATTATATCTTTGACTGTATTAAGTAGGGGTTCGCCTGAAAATGTAGGAATCGGGTCAATTAGAACCAACCTAACTCTGATGTCACTATCATTCCGTTCATCCTTTGTAGGCTGTTTCTTTAATACAATTTTCCTTAATTTAAAGAACCAGTGTAAGGAAAAGGTTGTGGGTTCAAACCCGACATACAAATAAGCTACTTCTTTTCTCCTCAAAAACGCTGGTACCCTGATCATATAATCTTGTAGTTGAAATATTCTAAAAAATAAATAAATAAAACATTTAATTCACTCGACAAGTTGGTTCTGGGAAGGATGAAATTCCACTGATGTTCTTTATTTTTAATTCCACTTGTTCCGTTTTCCGCTTGACCAAGTAATATCTTACAATTAATTAAGGTTTTTAGTTGAGATTAAAAAGTCAGTGGTACGAGCAGGATTCGAACCCACGATCTTCGGCTGCTCTACCACTTGAGCTGGCAAAAAGGAGGGAAAATTAAAAAAAGGTGGGGTTGAAATGGGAAGTTAGTGTCCGAGTGGATCGAGGTCATGATAGCTTAAGTGGTAGAGCAGCGGCGTATCTAGTGCCGCTCGTGCCATTGACTTTTTTATCTCAACTAAAAACCTTAATTGTAATTTATTTTTAATCTAAAGAGTGGAAAAGGATTAGTAACATAATGCTACTTTTTTGCAAATTGCATCCATCAGTACAAAATGACAATGAAATATTATTTACTGTTTATTTTGAGTACAATAGCTCCTAATTACCTATAACTAACGTACAAAGATAATGGATTTAATTTTAAAATAAATAAATTGACTGGTGTGATAAATTTGGCCATCAGCATATATCACGAATGAGATGGTTATTGATAAAAAAAATATGTGAAGGGTTAAAAGTTATCGTAATTTACTTTTTTTTTTATTGTTGTTTCCCATCAATTATTTTTACAAATTTTTTTATTGCAGGTGTTCGCGGAAAAGGTGGATTTTCCGAGGAAGGGTATTGTGATGAGTGAATTGGCCAAGCACAGCACTGGGCTGAGTTCGTGCGCGTTGCTCGTCAGAGGGATCCGACATATAAGATCACTTTAATGAATTCACTGCCGCTTGGAATTCTTTCACATCACCGAAACTAAAGTAAACACGATTGGCCAAATCGATTTCGTTCACACAAAACACAAACATTAATTTAAACTTATCAATTATTCACAATTTTATTTTATTCCCACTTTCTTGTTTTTAAATCTTTTAAAAAGGTTTTATTTCTTGATTTTGTACTCACATGCCAAGCACAAGGTACTGGCATTAAAAAAAAAAAAAAAGGTTTATATTATCGTTATTTTAGTGTGTAAGTTTTCAATTATTATACTGTAATGTGTCTTTGAAGCCATTTCGCTGAGTGGGCAAGTCTTGTTTAAAAAAAAAATGACAATCTCGGTTTTCTTATTTTAAAGAAAATACAATAACTCGTTTAAGACCTAGTCAAAATAAAAGTGGTACAGTTTTAGATTAAGACTTAATAATAAAGACTTGCCTGCTTTTTTAAAACTGCCAAACGTTCATTAGTTGTTATAGATATCGGCGTTTCTCGTAAGCTCAGAGCAAAACGTTTTTTATTTTTGTACAACCTTCACATTTTTGCTTTAAACAAACATTCCCTAATCACTGCATTTAATGCTGTTAAAAAAAAATTTAAAAAAAAAAAACATTCCATTTGTAAATTACCAACGTTTTCTTCAAATGAAAAAATAAAGGTCAAGATTGATGAACGCGATTCATCAAACGATTGTGCAATACACGGACGCCTAAGAATTGGTATAATAATGAAATTATTATAATCGTGCAGAATAGGTTGTGAAGTGATAGATCGTTGTTAGCTATTTGTGAAGAAAATGAAAGTTGTTCATGTTTATGTGTCTTCCTCTTTGTGTATTAGTGCTTAGAGAAAGATTTTTTCAATTTTGCTGTTATCCAAGTACCAATTGCATTAAATCATTAAGCTCATCAGTTTACCAAGGACCATGAAATGGTTTATGACTTTAAGCTCATTCGTCAATTTGTCTTTTTAAACCATTCACAACAAAAACAATGTGTTTCAAAGGAAAAAAAGATCTGAACAATTTTCTATTGTTGAATTTTAGAAGAAGACAATTTTATATACTGAATATTTATAATAAGGCTTAATTTAATTTTTTATTTTTGATAATTATTTAAAAAAAGTACAAGTTGCGATTAAAAACAAAAAATGACTTTTAGTGCCTATTATGTTATTTCAAGCAAAGACTTTAATTATTGCTGTAAATTCATGTAATTAATATTACTTGTTAATTTATTATGTATCTTTTATGGAAACTTTTAATAAATACATTGTGTTCTATGTTTTAAATATTTTTTAACTTTATCACACCTTATTTATTTTAATTCCTCAATAAATTGTTTTCTTTGATGAAACAAATTTGAGTAAAAAAAATTTAAGTCTAGATCTCACCTAGACATAGCTCGTCATGGGTGTGCCACACTACCAACCGTGATGGTCTACAGCGGTTTAAGGCTTGATCAATGAGATGTTAATCTCAATGTACAACGGCTAAAGACAATCGTTTGATTGTTCTTACCGACTATGAAACGATCATTTAAACCCTTGAAAGATGTCAACTACAAACGGTAAACTCTAAAACAGTCATCAGAAGGCTTCAGAAGTTTCTAGGCATCCCACATCAGGTTTTCTTTAATTGAAAAGCTGTCGAGTAAAAAGGTGAATATTTGCAAATCAGCGTCTCACTCGGACAGTTGAACAATTACCAGGACCGTGTGTAATGTGTAGAACACTGCTTCATGTGCCATGCACACAGCCTTTTCAAATAGTCAGTCATGGTGTAAGCTGGTCCCCGTCTTAGAATAAGCAGTAGTTGTTCAATAAAAACAACAAAAAATTAGTTTAAATGTACATGTAATGTGTAAAAGGGGGCGATGCCCGGATGGGAACGATGTAATGTCCCCAACCAATCTGGGATACATAAGCAGTTGGTCAACAGGTGTCGTAGCACAGCACGTTCCTTACAAACCAGGGAAACAGCCCTGCAATAATTACACAGTGGTTCAAACAAAAAAGAATAAATAACAAGGGTATCGCAGACCCAAACCAGAGCCACGTTTTTCCACGAACCTGGGGAACCAAGACCCGAGGGGTTAAATGCCTGGGTAGACTCCTACCCCATCCTTAAAAGGTCCGGGACTTGGTTGGCTCATGTGTCCTGCATAAATCTTTTGGGCTTGTTCATGAACCCCAAGATTTTGGACCGTTTTATCTCGGGGAGTGATTGGGTGATATCCGCTCCTTCAAAGATTTCAAATCTAGACCTAGCATACCTATCACACTGCGAGGTAGTGCCTTGCCGTTTTTCTTTTATTTCGGAAAAACGGCAAAAAGGATCTGGTAGAATACCTTTATGGGGCGGGGAGGTGTCTTCTCAGTGGGCACCATGAACCTGTAAATCAAAGTTTTAAATAGTTGGACAACCAGTTAAATAACTGAAGCTTAGTTATTTAGTGCGGAAGGGTTGTCACAAGACCAAAAATATGTAGCGACATAGGATATCGTAAATCAGGGTCGCGTCATCCAAGTGCACGACACCTGTCTGCAGCATGGGGGACTCCTGTGATTTATTTTCCCTTTCACCCCTTCTACTTGTAACGTAGCTATTCGCCGGGAATTGTCGGTCAACTCTGCCTCCCCTCCTAAAGCACTGGGAGAAGATTCTGGCAACCAGTCACTGCTGGAGAGGCTTCTGTCCAAAGAGAATCTTGAAAACGTGTCGCAGCACAATTGATAAAAAAAAGGTTTTTATTTAATGTACAAAAATCTGTTGTTTGGCCTTAGGTGTTTGGTGTGACATTTATTTTTATTAAAAAGATTTTTTTTTTGTAAGTGGGTGAGTGATTACTTCCTTTAACCTTGCGACCATTTCTTATATATGTCATTACTAGGGCTGTGCTTTATATGCAATAAAAACAGACAAATATGCACATACATATGTAAAATATTTGGTAAAAAATGCAATTTAAAACTGAAAATATGCGAAAACTACCATGGGGAAAAATAAGGAAACCTCAAATTAAAGGACATAATTGTATTGTAAAGAGAAACAGTGGCAAGAGGAACATCACATTGCTAATATTAACAAAGAAAAACGCATTAAAAAAAAGTTTAATTTAAAAAATCCGTCGTCTGATCTATCGAGACCCAGATCTGTCCATTTTCGATTAAGTCTCTGATTTTTATGGAGTGTTTCATTGCAAACAAGATCCAGGTGAGATTTCCTGAGGGTGCGTTCGTGGGGGAATAGTTTTCCCTGTGTATATCTCCAAAAAAACCATTGAATTCAGGGTGGCTGAGTTTATGGATGGGTATGTTTATGTCAGCTCTAAAGCACGACAAAAATCGGTATCGAAACCGGACTTTTCAGACCCAGCTCTTGTGGCAGCTTGTGTCACAAAGGTTTGTTGAAACTTAGACTTCCTATCTTTATTTTTCTTGTGTTTTGCAGTCTTTATGTGCTGTGTTACGTGTAGCTGTTTATACAGGTTTATCACAACAAACACAGTATAAAACGTCTGTATAGCCCTTAAAAATTTCACTTGAAAACTCACGCATATACTTTTGAACAAGATCTTTCGTCTTTGCAGTGACTTTCGACATTTTAGGAGTAGTCAGTTCACAACACACGAATAATGTTTCACGATGGAAAACGCATGAGAGACTGAGTAAAACTCAGAAGCATGATGGTAGGGAAAGAAGAGAACTGAGGTTGTAATATTTCTATTAAACTATTCCAAGAGAACATTTACAGTGGTACAAACACTATTCCTTTCTCTATTTGTTCCAAGAGAAGCAAAGGCGACTGAAAGTTCGCGGAAAGCCGAGGACCAGCAACTGATCACTCGTTCATTATGTGGAAACGGAAGAATGGGAGCCCGTAGCTTCTTTTCCGGATAATTTTTCTTTTTGCCTGCTCAGAAACATTAAAATTTGACGTGCCAAAAACCGATATGCCGGATATGTAAAAAGATATTCAATTATAACCCACTTATACAAAAATATGCATTTATGGCAATATATGCACAAATGTGCAAAAAAATATAGCTTAAATTGATTCTAAATGCTTCAGAACATATACAGTTTGTTAATATTGGATGTTTTAGTTAATCAGGAAAAATATGCAAATGCATATATTTCACAGCCCTAGTCATTACTGTCAATTTATTTTGTTCATTAAAAAATTATTGATTTCTTTGTAAATTCTCTACCAATCAAAAAAAGGCAAGATCCGTGATTCCCCAAATAGTAGGGGAAGAACACAACAGATATGTACAGTAGAAAAACTGGTATAAAAAGTGATGATTTGGATATCAAAAGTCAGTCAAGATCAAAGACGAGCGGTCAGTCGATTCCAGGTCTTGATCCGGAAAAGAAGCGGCCACATTCTGTCTGGGAGTCAACAAGGGGACTCAGCCAGCGAGGACCAGCTGTTGCGATTCATCAGATCCGGTTGAGAAACTGGAAAGGTGCTGAAGACTGATCGTTTGGTCTAATTCCCTTTGTTAATACATTCTATATTAGAGTTGTGGCTGACTTGTTAGATTAATTAAGATTTTGTTGTAGCTGTGACCTTATATAATGATTTATTGAATTCTCGAACCTCAACTTCCCCTACACGAGAATAAGAAGCGAAGTGCTTACGCTGACTACTCTCTTATCGCTTAGAGAAAAGTAAACAGACATAGATTGTTCAGCCATTGTCTGCTTGCAATAGTATTGGGTGGAATTAACATCCAACATGCCAAGATAATAATCTAAAATAAAATAATGTAAATAAAATTGTAGCATGCACATGGAATTTTTTATTTATAAATAAATCACCTATGTATATACTAAATATATAAACAAAAAACATTATTGTAGTTTCTCAGTTGGCAAAAAAATTGAGTCTAAAAATTCTATCATGACTGTCAGTGTTATTTTTTTATACCAATGGTGGTATGTGTTAAAATATTTTTTGAAAACAGCATTTTGTAACCAATCCAAATAAATATTCTCCATTGAAAACTGTTTATTTTATTTTATAAACAGTAGATTCTCGTTATCCTTTACCCCTTTATTTTCAGGGTTCGAAGCACTTTCTTTTATCAGTACATCAAATCGGACACTTTCTGCTCGCATGTGCCTATTATCAATGTTATGCATAAATTTATGTACACACATTTCAGGTTTTTTCTATAAGAAAAATTCAACGTACAGAAACATAAAATTTATTACATGCAGGAAAACGTACGTCAATGAGTATGGGCCTAAAACAGATCCAGTTGTTCAGCGGAGATGGGAGTGGGAGGAATTAGTCAGGTGCCGCGGTATTTTTTGGGAAGGGTAATTACCGAAACCAGGAAAGCAGAAGAGATTGAAATTGAACAAGGAAAAAAAAATTAACGGAGTTGTTTGAACCACCAATATTCGAGATACAAAGCGAAGACCGTCACCTCATCCAATTGCGCTCGTGTAAAGGTGGCTCCAGACATGTGGAATTCACAAATTGCCGAGCGTAATCCAACTAGCGGGGACGGATGCTTGGCTTTCGCTGAGCAACAATATTCGGTGTTGTTTCCTTATCCGCTTCAAAGTGTACAAATATTTGCGAAGTAGCCAAAGTCATAGTATCCACATATTAGGGAATAACCATCAATCAATACTGATATTTATTTTTCAATAATAAACAATTCCTAACTGGTATAGATATATTAATGAAAGAATCATAGCATTATTTCTGCCAGTTTTCCAACAATAATTTGGAACGCTTCTCTTCTGATTTGCAAAAATCGGGACGTTTTTGATGGGTGAAATGGATCGAAAGTAAGATGGGGCAACGTACTCAGTGATTGATTTACGACTTGTAGCCACTACACAAAACAGCAACCACATCTGCAACAACAAAAATTTCACAATTGTCCACAATTGGCGAGTTGAGGACTTGCACAGTGGCGAATATTCACTTTTCCGCACAAACTGGCTGTTTCTCCAATTTTTTCTATTGCCTGTTCCCATTTTTCTTCTATTTTATCTTCTCCGTCTTCTTCTATGCTTGATGTGATTCATACTCATTCCCACTCTCCAGAAAGCAAGTGAAAGCGCGGATAATGAGAGTCTACTGTTTAATAAAGTAAATTTATCTGAAACTAACTACAGGAAAATGTGTTTTTTAAATTTTTTTTATATCCATTTTTAAAGGATGGGGTACGGAAGGGCGTACAAATGAATGTTTTTAAATTCAAATATATATATGTATATATTTATAAACTACAAAATTGTACACGAATGTAAAGGTACTCTCCCCTCAAATAACAGTGCAAGCAATGATCTTTAGTATCCTACCAGGTAAAGCGATTGACTTTAAAGCTACCTAGCATTCCTCAATCAATTTCAATGTATTATTTCCTTTATTAAAAAAATTAAATTAAATTAAAAAAAAAATAATTCACACATTGACTGTTTCAAAAATGTTTTAAATTCCACTGCACGATATCCCAATAACACATATCACATAATTGATGTTTTCTTGAAACTTCTTTGTCATATCACTAAAAAAAAGTTAACAAAAAAAGAAAAAAACACTATCTCGCTCGTCACGTCTACAAATTAATAAATAGTGCTACTAATAAAAAGCCGTACTGAAAATGTAAACAAAAGTGGCCTCTCTAGAGGAAATTACCTTTGGTTTGACTTAATACTATGTATATTTGTCCCAGACCGCAGGGACGTAGGAGAGCATATATCCAAACTATACAAAACAATTATTTTCAATTATACACACAAAAAAGAAAAAAAAAAAAGAAATAGTTTTCAAATAAAAATAGGCACCGTAGAGATGCCTATTTTGTCTATACCATATAAAATTATGTAAAAATTGACAACAACATAAGTGAACAATGATGGAAATAATATGCAACTGTGAGACCATTAATATATACAGAATGTGTCTTAGCTAAATGTACTATAAACGTGAAAGACACAGAATTCTAAGCAAATAAATATCCCTGAATGTACAACGAAACCCTAAAAACGTTCCCCAAATAACTATTTGACTTTCTCGGCCTCTCTCAGAACTTCGTATTAAGTGGTACAGCCGTAGGTTGGGCTCATTTCTTCGCAGGAGTCCCTCTTTGCGTTAGGCCTTCGAACCTTTTAAATGTATAATTAATGAACACCCAATCTTTGTAAATGACTTCGCCATCTTGAGGCACTGGGGCTGATGCTATAAAAAGAAAAAAAATCCAGTTAATATTTTGTAAATAGTTTTTCGGAGTAGAATTTTTTACTTACGTATTTCAAGTTTGACATCGGGGAAGTCGTCAAAGTTACTAGTGTCATCGATAGATTTAACGTCGACTGGTATGGCGGCTGGACGGTCTCTCATATGGTCCCAGTCGACCCCTCTGAAGAATGGGACCAGTCGTAGCTCGTCGACGCCTCTAGACGAGCCGAGCCTAGACTCCGATTCGGCGCAGAACCTCATCACGGTATCCTTCGCCTCCTCCGATATGGGCACTTCAGGCGGGAAAGTCAGAGTCTCCCTCCATGCCATAACCTTCCTGTAAGTTTCCTGCGGGTTCTCCGAACAGAATGGTGGGTAGCCTGAGCAAATAGCATACATTACAAAAAAAATCCAATACCATTATTAAAAAAAAAAAAATTACCTATAAGCATTTCATACATGATGACTCCCAGGCTCCACCAATCACAAGATGTACCATATCCGGTCTGGAGAAAAACTTCCGGTGCGATGTAATCAGGTGTGCCAACTGTACTGTAAGCCAAAGCTCTTCGGTTTTTCTTCCAGGATTCCGCTCGCCTTTTTGAATCCATCGGATTGGAAGCTGTCCAAGTTTTAACTAAATAATTTCCATCTCAAGTTTTATTAAAAAACCAAAACAAAAGGAAAAAAAGCAATACACAACAAATACACAGGCAAAAAACCAGACACTTGCATTTTTAATTAAAGTTTTACGTGGAGAAAGTCTCGCTTTGGCCAACAATGGACATAGCCCCCATTACATAGCAATTCTTGGGTGTCACGCTACCTACTGTAAGCCGGCCCCCGTCTTACCGATAAGTTAAATTGTAAAATAAGAACAAAATAGGTAAACGAGGAAAAGGGACAGGGGTTGTGCTTTGAAGGGGCAACCGCCCAGACGGGAACGGCGTGACACATCTGGCAAATGTAGCTTGGAAATGGTTACCCAGGTAGACATTTAGGTAAGAACGGGGGACATCGTAAATTGGGAATATGTCAACCCTGTGGTAGACCGCATCTTTGCCGGCCCAGCCGTGGCGTGAGAACTCCCCTGACTTTTGAGTTTCCTTTCCACCTCTACTCCGAGAGAGACCCGGTATAAAAGGGATGACTGGAAAATCAAAAGTCAGTCAAGATCCGAGACTCACCCCCCAGCCAGTCGAAATCAGAGACTCACCCCACCAGTCAACATCAGAGACTCATCCCAGGCAGTCAAGACCAAGGACCGGGAGAGAAGCAGCCACACTCCGTCTGGGATTCAACAAGAGGACTCAGCCAGCCAGAGCCAGCGAGGACCAGCCGTTGCGACCAATCGAGCCAAGTCAGAGGTCGAGAGAAGAGATGCTGTGGACACTGATCTGGGTAAGTCCTTTTGTTGATAGACTCATCCTAGATTTAGAGTTGTGGCTGACTTGGAGATTAATTAATTAGCAATTAGGGTACTGTTAAGAGAAGGACTTGTGTACAATAAATGTTACTGAATACTGTCTCTGGTTTATTGAATTCTGGAACCTTACCTTCCCCTACACAAGAATAAGTAGCGACGCGCTTACGCCGACTAATCTCTAGTCGCTTAGAGAAAAGCAAGCGAATATTGAGAGATAATTCGGCTGCCGCGCCGTCGTCCGCTTACACTACCATTAACGATGATCTGCATTGCTTTAGGGTAACTGAGAGTCTCAACCAAAGAGAAGGTAGTAGCAATTATGGAAATCATTTTAATGTTCTTACGACACTACAGAACTCTTAATTAAACACTTCAAATGATCTGTAATGTAAGGCTGAGCTCTAAAACAGTCATTTAAAGACTGTGAGAATAGCCTAGTCACTAGACGTCGTCTGGCATCAGATTCTCTACTACTGGTGAGGCATCAAGCACAAAGACAACTAATTTGCAAATTAAGATATCTCTTGAACATCAGAACAGAGGCATGGGTGTGGTCTTCACAGGTGAGTACTGATTTTGGTTTGTGATAATCAGATGACCAGGACCATCATATGTGTTGGAGCCTTTTCAAAGACAGTTATGATTTGGGGTGGAATCAACCTTGCCCGCACCAAACGTATTGTCATTATGGATCTTTGACTGCACTCTTATTACCATGTCATGTGGTCCCATGTACTTACATGGGGAAAGTTCTTCTGAAAGCTGTGTCCCATTTGCTCCATTTATTGGGGACAACTCGGTGTTAATGCATGATAATGCTTGACTGCATGTAGCTCGAGTTGTCTCCCAATACTTGAAGGATTCCTGACATGGCTCCCTTAGAACATTTATGGGACATGGTAAAAATAAGGGTTAGGCATCGTTCGCTGCCTCCAACAAGTGTTGAATAGCTTCAAACTGCTCTTGTTGAAGAATAGGATTCTGTTTTACAAGACAAAATCTGATCGCTTATTTACTGAAGCCTTAGACGAGGCCAGAGGAAGGAATTTGCATGTGAAGAGCATAACTAGGTAATAAATTGTTAAAAGGGCATGTGAGGTATGAATAATCTGGTGGGAGCCGTTCACCCAAGGATGGAAATCACTTGGCAATCTTTTACTGATGTTAGGCAACTAAGTTGTCAAGTGGCTAACAGCTTCAGTCTCTGATGAGAATTAGTGGGTAATGTTGAGAATCACAATTCACGGCTTAAGGAGTTTAAGCGATTGGGTAATTGAAAATGAAATTTTTTGTTATGAAATTGGGCAAGATCGGATATGAATGGGATTAACTATTGTTCGCAGAATTTTAGAATGTAGGGTTGTAGTCTGTTAAGATTGGAACGCTTAGCGGTTAAATCTGTTTGTCCATAGTGGGCCAGCAGGGCAGTATTTAGTCTTTTGATACTGTAAATTTGGATCGCTTGTCAAGTAGTATTTTAAGCAGTCTGAATCTTGTATTTAAATTTTTATGTTTGAGTCTCGAATAGGGATTCCACGTTAGTACTTTCTGAAGGTACAGTCCAAGGTATCGGACATGGTTCGCAACAGGGATGGGAAGATTATCAAAATATAAAGGGTGTTTTTTTGGTAATGAGTGAAAACAATGTGTTTAGATTTAGTTTCATTAATCTTGATTTTCCATTGGTGGAGCCAGTATTCGAGTGTGTTAAGTGATTGTTGTAACAGGTCCTTTATCGAAGGTGAGTGTAAATTGTGAAGAGGAGGGGTTCGAGAATGCTCCCCTGTGGAACACCAGCGGAGGAGAAAGAAGTGTTTTGGACAGTTTGGATGTGACGGTCTGTAAGGTGTGATTTTAGTATTCAGGAATATCAAATTATACAATATGAGCAGCTGGTAGGATGCCCTTGTCTTCTTGCAGTTGGAAGGTATGGTAGTTAGTATTATGTTTTTTTAAGGTATTCGATTACACTTCTGTTTCCGAATTAATTACATTATCAGTAATGTTAGCTTTGGTGGTGAATGGGTTTTCCCCCACAAGTCATGAAAGTGTACAATTAAATACTTTTGATTGAAATTCATGAATTTCTGAACTCATTATATAACTATAAAAAAAATGTTTGAAATAATAAAATACAAGCGTCTAATTTTTGTCTGACTAGGGGCCGACCAGGTTGATGGGCCAGAGATTATGCCAAATTTTTTTGGTGATTCTACACTATTCTCCCTAACCATCCCTAACCATTCTACACTCCAAAATATCGGACATGTATCTGTCACTTCCTGTGAATAGGTCCTGGTTTCATAAAATAATTTTTTGAAAGTTGAAATTTTCCATTTTTTAATATTTTCATTTCATCATTCTACTATGTGAATATATCATTTTACAGCTTTTTTTATGTAGCTTGTAATAAAAATATAGTAAAGTTATCAAAGTTTATCAATAACCAAAGATTCACTAGTTTCGTGGTCCGCTTGACCAATTAATATATTACAATTAATTAAGGTTTTTAGTTGAGATAAAAAAGTCAGCGTGACGAGCGGGATTCGAACCCACGATCTTCGGCAAGATACGCCATGCTTTACCACTTGAGCTATCATGACCTCGATCCACTCAGACACCAACTTCCCATCTCAACCCCACCTTTTGAATTTTCCTTCCTTTTTGCCATTTTTCATATGTCATGTAATCTATTTGATTCTCAGCGACAAAGAAATGGCTACAGAGAGCTTTAGTGAAGGTATACTTCATTTTAAACGTATTCAATTCACTAGTTTCGTGGTCTGCTAGACCAAGACATTTGAAAAATGGCAAAAAGGAGGGAAAATTCAAAAGGTGGGGTTGAGATAGGAAGTTGGTGTCCGAATGGATCGAGGTCACGATAGCTCAAGTGGTAGAGCAGTGGCATATCAAACCGAAGATCTTGGGTTCGAATCCCGCTCGTGCCTTTAAATGTTTTATCTCAACTAAAAACCTTAATTAATTATTGTAATAACCAAAGAATTTTTCAAGCGAACTAGGTCATAATTTTTTTTCTCTTGAAACTAATATGAAATTTTATTTTAGCACTGTAGAAACCCATAAAATTTTTCCAATTTTTAAGAATACATTCTCGGAATATATTATTGAAACAGTTTTAATTAATAAGTCTAAAAGGATTTTAACATCAAAATACCATTTGAAAGAAGATAAACGTAGCTTTTTAATGATGTATGTACCATAAAAATATATAAAAGATTTCTATAAGAAAATACATAAAATAAAAAAAAATATTTCTGCCAGGAATTAACCTCTTTTTAATGGAAATAATGGTCCAATTTTAATGTTTGATAAAGTTATAAAATGCACCTGACAATTACTTTAAAATGAATTAAAGTTATAAAATGCACCTGACAATTACTTTAAAATGAATTATCAACCGTGAAAATTGCTATCCTTGGTTTTGAGAAAAATCATGTTAGAGCCTTGCACTCAGAATGTCAGGCACGCAGCAGGTTGTCGAAATTATCAGACAAAAATTAATTTACACCTATTTCCACAAAAGTCAGTATCTAATGGTTTTATAAGTTATTATCAAATCCATGTTTTGACCATTTTCTGACCTACTTCACTTACAGAATGTTTGTTAAAATATGATGATATTTTTATGAACTAGTTTACTTGAAATATATTTGGTTTTTAGAAATTTTTGATAGCTGGTGTGATATTTTGGAGCGTAAAATCGCTGAAAAGTATTTGGTCCTAATCAGTGACACACCAACCTGGTCGTCCCCTTGAGAGTGTATAAAACACAGTTCTATCTCTAACAAATAAAAATAAATAGTAAAATCATAAAGAAATCAAGTTACTAAACTGTTTAAGGTAAAAGAGTATGCCATAAAAAAAAAAAAAAAAAAAAAAAAAAAAAAAAAAAAAAAAAAAAAAAAAATCATGCATTATATGGTTTATTATTACTTCATAAATTTAAGTAGTCACTAGGTTTGTTCCATCACACAATCACAAACCGGTTGCAAGGAAATCGTGATTTATGACCGCACAGGCCTGAACGTGGAATGATGACAGATTTTCATCTCTGATAGAACGCTTTTTTCCAACCTCGGACTCTGACAGTTTAGGTGGATCAAAACGTTTGAAATTGATAGCGGACTTTTTGTTGAACTATTTGTTCATTGTGTCTATTATGTTGTAATGGATACAAATTTGGTAAACCTGAGAGATTCTGCCTCTTCGGAATCCAGCATTGAAAATTTGGAAAATTATTAAAAAAGATATTGACTGTTCCTCCCATCTAGAATTACGGCAAATAATGCAAGTTTATGGTCAGAAAATAAAAACAATTAAATAAATGATGTTAAACATTTTTTATTAATTAAAATACCCTCCATCACTCTCAGTACACTTCTCCCAAAGTGATGTTAACTTCTCTGCGCCCTATGAATAGAATTTTGTGTCTTTATTTTGTAAATGCATTTTCTAATGACTGTTGTTCAATAATTTTTTTATGATGTAAAATATTGTCCAGGTGTCTGAAAAAAATGGTAGTCAGTAGGCAAGAGATCTGGAGAATAGGGAGGGTGAGGCAGAACCAAGATCCAACAGGTTTCTTGCTGGAGGCTTTGGAAAATGTGGTGCTGCTTCTCCTCTGAGCCACCATCCAGAAAAAGATCATTTCTGTTTCAGCAAAGAAGTGTTGTTCAAACTTCATAACGATGATTTTTTTTTTGCAGTTGTTTAACACATGAGGAGCCCAACTTTTGAGCTTTTTTCACCTTTCCAATTGCCTTAATATGTTCAGCAATAGTCCAATGATTGAAAGATTTTCTGCACGTTCTTGAAGAGTTGTTCAGGGATTTTCTTCAGCCAAAGCTTGCAGAACATCATCAACATCTAGGGAAGAAATCCTTCCAAAAAAGTTCCTTCCATAAATTTTTTAAACCATCTCTAAACAGTACTCTCCTTCTCACTGTCATCGCACCAGACTTCATTAACGTCTCTGGCCATTTGGGCACTGTTCCGACCGAGTTTAAAAAACATAAAATGATATTATGTGAAAATCACCTGTTGACATCTTAGTACAGACTGAATTATTCTCAAATAACGAAATGCTACTAAGGTAAGTGAACATTTTTGTTTGTAAGAGGATTAAAAAGTGTTGACTTTCGTACAAAAGAATAATCCATCTGAAAATTGTTTATTATATCGAGGGGTAATTGAAAGAAAATATGAAAACCTGCATTATTATTCCGTACAGCCCGACAGTAAAATCCTCGGACTCTTTTGACAGTCCAAAAACATTCACAAACATGGTCTGAAAACTGAAATGGTTGACTGACAGTTTGAGTTTGGGTTTGGATGCGCGATGGAACAAAACTAACATAAATAAGCAGAGTTGAAAAAAAAAAAAAAAAATCATGCAAAATTAAAAAAAAAAAGTAATCTTATTAATTTGGCAATTTATTGAATAAAACTTATTTAAAATACAATCCATGCTTTTAAATCAAAATAAAGCAAAATTACTCACTAAAATCTGAAGGTTTGGCTTGACTGAGATCTCTATAAAAGTCTGTTCTGTGTGATTTCTTAAGCCCTGTACACAGGCCGAAGTCAGAGAGCTTGATATGTCCTCGAGCATCCAAAAGGAGGTTATCAGGTTTGATATCCCTAAAGAAAATTAAAAAATTAATGAAAACATATACATTTAGATAAGTGAAATGAATTACCTATGAATAAATCCTAATTTATGAATTGAGTCTATTGCAAGAGCAGTTTCAGCGATGTAGAACTGAGTGCACTCTTCCGAAAGCGTGTCCTTTTTCATAAGGAGTGTCATCATATCGCCCCCAGGTAGGAATTCCATGATGAGGTAGAGGTTAATCGGATCTTGGAAACTGTAGTACATCTTGACAACCCATTGGTGATCGGCTTCGACAAGGACGTCCCTCTCCGCTCGTACGTGTGCCACCTGCTCCTTCTCAAGCATGTCCGCCTTCCTTAGAATCTTCATAGCGTATACATGACCAGTGTCTTTTTTCTGTACAAGTCGAACCTGGAAATTTAAATTTAAAATTAAATACAATGAAATATTGACTTGTTTGAAAAATTTTTAAATTTACCTCTCCAAAAGCTCCTCTTCCGATGACTTTGAGAGGCTCAAAATCTTCGACACCGAGCCGAGATCTTTTAAGTCGTAAAAATTCCGTCTCTTTTTGGGCATGCTGGTTTCTTTTTTCTTGTTTCTGAATTTCAGATAAGCCCTCTTCTTTCAACGACTCTTCCAACTTTGCCAGTCTGAAAAATTCAACAATTATTACAAAATCAATACTACTTTAAACACATTTTAAATTTATATTTTAACACTGATTGTTAAAACAAAAATAATTAAGTACTATTAAAGTTTATTCACTAATCACCATGCAATTTAATTATTTTTCTGATTTTCGTTTTCTTCAATTAAATGTTCTGGCGGGTGTTAATTTTTAGCCTACCTTTGCTTCCTCTCCATGTGCTGATTCGTCAGATTGCTGTAATAATTTTCCAGAGTCACCTTTGCCTTTGTCACCTTGTCGAGGGTGTGGCCGCTGAACCTCACCGCCCCGCTCTCAGCCGCTGCGCTCGCCATCTCAAACAGACCTAACAAAAACAAAGGAAAAAACATTAAAAACAGAAATGGAAGTTCACAATGTTCACATGCACATATAATTTATAGCATACTCTATTAAATGTTAACCCTAAATAAAATTACCGATTAAACTGGATAAATGAATTTATTAAAAAAGACATTAGCTATTGAAATGAAACAAGAAATTTAAATTAAAAAATCCAAAATCATTAATAAAATTTTAAAAAAATCGATACACTACAGATTATCTTATGCTGACGAGTGAAAGGAAAGACTGACTTCAAATCTACTGTGCCTTTACACAAGTCAACATTTTATCTTGAAGTTATCTATAGATCACCCAAAAGAAATAAATAGGATAATAAAGAGATTAAAAATCAATGTAGCTATAATTTTTAGACGAGTAATAAAATTGGTGGTTTTTTTATTTAGACAAATCTATTAATAGCATTATTGTTTATAGAAGAGTCTAACGTGTAACTGTTCATGTGGGGGTCACTCTAGATAATTTTTTCATATTATCCATAATTAAAAAGTCATGGGCTAATGCAGGTATTCGAATCAAGAACCACACTCTAACCACTGGCCGCTGTGGTCTGTGTCCGATCTAATACTAGCAATAAATGCCTTTTCTTGTTCAAAATGTCAATCTACTCAAGAAGTTAACAAGCTACGGCTTCAAATTTAAGTGTGTGCCATCCACTGACATTCAATTTTATTCTATGACAACTTGGAACTCAGCAAGTTACTTAGTTAAGAATAGGACATATTGTCTCATAACTCTTAAAAGTATTAACAATTCTGATTTTAAAAAATAAAAGGGAGAGAGAAGTTTGCATATTTTCTCTATTTTCGAGGAAAGCAAATCCATGCATCAACTTAAAATATTCCTGACCATAAACCTAACCCTACCTAATTTTACCTAACCTAACCCTGACTGAAACCAACCCATCACTACTCTATAACACAGAATGATCACACACAAAAGTGTTTAAAATTTAAAAAAAAAAAGAGAGAGAGTGAGAGAGAGTGTGTGAGTGAGTGTATGTTAGTGAGTAAGAGTGAGTGAGAGAGCGTGTGAGTGTATGTTAGTGAGTAAGAGTGAGAGTGAGAGAGAGAGAGAGAGAGTGTGAGTAAGTGTATGTTAGTGAGTGAGAGAGTGTGGGTGAGAGCGTGTGAGTGAGTGTATGATAGTGAGTGAGGGAGGNAGAGGGAGGGAGGGAGAGAGAGAGAGAGAGGGAGAGGGAGAGAACAGACATACCAGCACAAAGACAGAGGACCAGATAAACTCATGCTTTGCACTCGTATCTTTTCTCTGCTTTATGTTAAAAAATCATAACCCTACTTAATTTTACATAACCTAACCATAACTGAAACCAACCAAAGCACACTCCTCTATAACACAACAATCTAACATGTAAAAAAGAATATGTCAAAAAAAGAAAAAATAAGAGGAAAAAAACAGAGAGAACATACAGACAAGCTCATGGTTCGCACTCCCATATTTTCAGAGTTTCATCGAAAAATATTGAATCATGTAACCAAACCTAACCAAAATCTTTTAAGGTAACCCTGTCTAGTCCTAAGCCTAACCCGTCCCTAACCATCACCCTATCTAACCATACCATCCCTAACATAATCCAACCAATGAGCACTCCTGAGTAACACAAAATAAATTATGCTAAAATAGTAACTAAAATTTGTTACACTGTCGAAAGGAAATCTTTTAAGGAGAAAGTGTTTTGTCTTACATTAACGACTTGTGGCTTGATCATGTCTGATCCTTGTACACCTAATTTTGCTCTTGCACAACTAGTACAAATGAAAAATAATCAGGTTCAACACTAGACAGAACTACATTAAACTTGCAACTTTTTTGTTTAAATTTGGTATAAGTGGGGTTTACTATGTCAGGACTATTTCAAATAAAGAAAATTACTGCAGTCATAATTGTATACCCGAAATAAGTTAGATCCTTTAACAATTCAGAAATATCAAACTTGAAAGATCAGGATTGGATTGTAAATGTATTTTTGTATGGATGGTATGATAATCTTTTCTTTTCATTTGAAGGGAATTAGAAAAAATCATTTACCTAGTGAATGAATATATTTATGTACTTGCAATTTTAACACTTACGCTTCATTGGTTTAATGCCCTTTACTCAGCCAGGTGTTTACTGTTTTACAACATTGAAGAAAATAAACTGAGTTTCGAGAAAGGGTTGAATATGTGCAGAATTGACGCTTTATTTTTTTACTGACTATGCTTGCAGAAAGATGTATCGTACAGGCATTCTTTGGTACGGTGAATCACTTAGTAAAAACGGGGTCAACGGAACGATTTTGCCGTTTTCTCATACAAATTGGAATTTCCGAATCTAATTCTCTTCTACGAGAGGGAAAACCCCCGAGACCAGATTATAAATTGTAATTTAAAGATTATCCATTTCAAGGCGAAAGATGCTTTTTCTTCCGATTTTCAAATGCCCTTTCTAATACTGCTGTTATTTTAAGCAATCATTACGTCAATTCTGATACTCTTTTTCCAGTAGGGTTTTTATCCAACCTTCGCCTACTGAAGCAGAAAAGACGAAACGAGTTTGCCCAAGGACAAACGGCGAGAGTATGCGGACCCTTCGGTAATGAGCAATCGGGTCGAAGTTTATTATCCCGTTCGCCGTAATTTCCCATTAATTTGCTATTTACCTAGACAAAAACAAACCTTGAAAGGGTGTCATAAAACCCACGATTGTCTACCTGACAATGCTCTATTAGCATTTTTGACGAATTGAAAATAACAAAGTTAATCCAAGACTGAAAATAGGGCATCTCTGAACAACCCACAAGGGGCTAAGGAGTACACAACATTCCCAGGCTGTCTTAGACACAGCCGGTTTTATTACAAGAGAATAACATTATTGGCCTACTACGTCCGAAGTCAAATTGCCAAAAAAAATATGAAAATTACCATAAAGATTCATTCCATATTGGGTTGTTTATGATGTTTATTTGCTATATGCAGTAAGGTGAACTCAATCGGAGAAAACAAATAAAAAAATATCTCCGTCAGCAAAACGTGAGTTTCACCCCCTTTTTTTCTAAATAATAAACATTAGTAACAAATACACAACTATTTGTTTTAATAATTTATTATTATATGTTAGTATTAAATTAAATTTATTTAAATTATCACTATTTACTGAAATATTTTGTGTTATACAAGGTAGTTTATGAATTATTCCAAAAATTTTTAAAATAGATGTGATTCTAGGCTGGTTTCTGGCTGGATCTCTCCGTAAAGAGCCAAGGAATATAACCCTTCAATTACGCAGGACACATCGGCATTTTTTTCTCTACGCTGGTCTAAAAGTAAATTAAAATTTATTCTTAGTAGTGAGAGTATGATCCTTCTTGTTCGATGGATCGCAATCGACCGTGCTCTTGATAGGCGAGACAGCCAATGACTGTACCTCTCGTCCTTATTTACCTACCATTCGCTCTAATAAATACATTCACTCTCAAAAACCCAAAACCAATATTTACTGTAGAACAGCCCTGTTTCCTTCAGAAATCGGAATAGAAGATTGACCTTAATTACCTAACATTCTCTCTAATAAATACATTCATTCTCAAAAAACCCAAAACCAATATTACTATAGAACAGTCCTGTTTCCTTAAAAAATCGGAAAAGAAAACTGACTAGCTGAACGAACAAGCACAATTCTCATATCGGTTGGTTCTACACGCTCTCCATAAAGAGCCAAGGAATAAAACCCTTCAATTAAGGAGGACACAAGGGCATTTTTTCTATATGCTCACCTAAAAGTAAATTAAGATTTATTCTTAGTAGGTTGAGTATGATCCTGCTTGTTCGATGGATCGCTATCGACCGTGCTCTTGATAGGAGAGACAGCCAATGACTGTACCTCTCGTCCTTATTACTACCATTCTCTCTAATAAATACATTCACTCTCAAAAACCCAAAACCAATATTTACTATAGACAGCCCTGTTTCCTTCAAAAATAGGAACAGAAGATTGACTAGCTGCACGAACAAGCACAATTCCCATACCGGTTGGTTCTACACGCTCTCCATAAGGAGCCAAGTAATAAAACCTCAATTAAGTAGAACACATCGGCATTTTTTCTATATGCTGTTCTAAAAGTAAGTTAAGGTGTATTCTTAGTAGTGTGAGTATGATCCTTCTCGTTCGATGGACCGCTATCGACCGTCGTATAATCTTTAGCGTCAGAAGGCAAGTTTTATAAAGTAAATAATCAATTAAAAACTAACAATTAGTTGTTCAGATTAGCACACGGGAAAAGATTTACAGCTCGAACAACAAGCTCATTACGTTATTTTGGAACAGGAAGCCCAGAGGACGTGAAAGCGGCCGGGAAATGAGTCTGAAAGGAACGAAATTACCCGAGATCCGGCGTCATCCCGACCCTCTGACACTACTTTCACGTTAATAGCATCAAAACAATGCGACGACCCACGAGACTTACACCGGCTTTATCTTATCAGCCTTTTATTTCTAAAACGTGTTTTTACAAGTTGTGCCTTATCTTTAATGGCCTACTGAGTCGAACGAAAGCTGGGTCGAGACATTAATGCTAATCGTCATGATTGAAAGGGATCAATCATCGAGGATAATGACGGCTGCTGATAAGTGATAAATGATAAGCAATCTCAATAGGTAAAGCTTTCAAAATGTTTTCACCAATAAACACAAACGCTTTGGACTCGGTCTAATCTATCAATACATCCAAACAGCGTGAAATTGACCTTATGTATTGTTTTTATTGACATATATTTAACTATGTTTATTCGTTACGCGATGAAACAATCAATCGTGACGCTAACAACAAAGATTAAATTATTTTAGCGGTTAAATGGAATTTTTTGCGTTCTTAATGAAAATGTACAATAAAAAGGAGATTGAAGACGCGTCGTAAAACGGATTAACTATCCAGGGATGCTAAGGGAAATTTGCAATCACGTAACG